ACAATTGAATTGTCTGGCAATAGTACGTGTAGACATGCCAGCCCTGGACATTCCCATGGCTTCATTCCGTTGATTTTCAGTAAGTCTCGGCATCTCTAGTAGGCCGCATTCTGGGGGGGGGGGGGGGGAAATCTTGTCACCTTCGCTCCCGCTAAACCGGTCTACAAATCGGACTATCAGTAATCGTGCAATCAATATGTCAACAAAGTTCTCCAATAAAATTTGCCAATTTAATAGTTCAAGCTCGAAAGAGGCTAGAAATCGATGACTTATTTCTTTATAGTGCGGAGCCATATTTGCGTAGATGTGAGTTGGATCCTGCGCAGCTATTTAAAATTTGGCCAATCAGCGGTCGCGCTTGCGGGGTTGCGGTCAAAAATTCTGGGGTCAAGTGCCAGGTCATAGCATTTGTAAACAAAGCCATGTGCACGATTTACCTTGCAAATTGCTCGCGGTCGGGACGAACAGAGATCAAATGAACCCAAAAAACGTCCCACCTGTGTAGAGAAGTGGTGTATGAGAGCCACAAAAGGTATTTTGATCACACTGACATAAAATGTGGCAGTCAGTCAGGTTTTTTCAACACTGATTAAGGATATCGGACCGTCGATTTCACTAGAAAAATGCCTTAATATCAAGGGAGATTACAAGGTCACTGCTTCTATAAGTGTAATTCTAATCATAGGCGTACGAGCTGGGGGCGGCCGCCCCCCCATTTTGGGCACCAAATGCTGGGAAAATTTGGGCACACAATTGTACTTTGTAAAAGTTGTATAAAATAATATTACGTTCTTGAATGTGTCCAATTTAACAGCGAATTTATTATTATTATGTAACATACTAAGAACCCAACTACATATTTTGGGCACCAACCACCACTGCCCCCCCCCCCCCAGTCAAAAATTTTCCCGTACGCCTATGATTCTAATGAAATCATTCATTTTACATAACAACATACTTAAAACCTGTCTAGCCTGCTGTCTTAATAACGATCATGGATAGAATAGTGTATAGCTAAGATTAAGAATGAAAAAAACATATTTTGAAATAAAGGTTGAGAACTTAAAAAGTTGCAGAAATATTAAGAATAATGCTTAAATAATTTGAACTAGCTCAGAATTGTCAGGGAAAAGCCCATATGGACGAAATAAAATTTTGCATCTACAATGTATAAGCTTACAATAGATATATGAATTCAAATAACACTTGACTGTAATTAAAAGCTGTCAAATTTCATTCTCATATAGAAAAATGGGTTTTGTCTGCAACTGCCAATGAACCAGATGGCACCCCCCCCCATCAATATGGGGCTCACCTACGACAATGTACATATAATCATCGATAAAAATGCCACACACACTTTCAATGTTCAAATCTTGCTTCTGATTAATAAATATTCTGATTTCTTTAAACAATTATAACAGATACTGTACATGTAGTCGATCAAATCCAATACTAATTACATTTGATTTACCTGTCTTCATTAGCCCAGTTTAGGAGCAGAACAGTAGGACGTCAAACCCCATTTCATTTCTTGATTCGAAAAATATTTTTGATCACCTAAGATAAATAAAATACAATTTAATGGAGGATTTACACTAAGAGTAAGACACTAACTCATTTAGTAGTTAGAATAAGGCTACCGGTATTTGTTTCACTGGACTTATCAAAACAGCAAAAGTGTTATTGGGGCTTTAAATAAAATATTAAAAATGCTATTTTTATTTCGCATGGGACTAAATTGTCCCTCTTTTGTGTGGCCCCCGATCGAACATACTTGGATTTTTTCTTGCAAATTATACAGATCTCTGATAAAACTAACTTCTTTAACTCTGATGAAGTAGTAACAAGTACTGCACCATGATGTGATTCCTTTGGTGAGATTAATGAAGGAGTGGGGGTGAATGAGACACACTTTTAATTTTTAAAGTTGTTGAAGTACTAGGCCTAGTAGTAGGGGTTATGGACATAAAGGCCCTAAACCAAAATGACTCAAGTATTTGGTCATAACGGCCAAACATTTTGGTCATAACTACATAACGGTCAAAACATTAGGTCATAATGGCCAAAAAGAACATTTGAATTTTGATATATTATGTATCAAATGATATTTATTAATATAAATATTGCATAATATAAATACCAATATTTCTTAATAGATAATATTTTCATATACATTTATTTAATACATAAATTTAAATTCACTGTAGACATTTATACTCAATACACTGTATAACTATAACATACATAATTTACAAAGACATCTATTTAATATGGAGGGTGGGTGGCAAATGGTTTAACATGTACACATGAAATCATAAGGTCTGTCATTGCGTCAAGTGACGTAGTTTCAATTCTCTGCTTGTACGTGACAAGGACTAGGGTCATTTGTTCAACCTTGTGGGTTTTCTCTGAGTCCCCCAATTTCCTTCCTCTGCTACAGACCCTTACACGCAAGCGAATTATTTAAATAAAAAGGAACCATATGTTGGACCCCAAAATGACCTACTTTGTGTCGACTGGACATTAATGTTCAGCTCATGTTACTTTATCAGTGGGGTGTGAAGGGCTTAATTAGGGATATCAAAAACTTTGATTAATTGGTATGAACCCCTCTTTCCTTTGAATCACAGCATGCAATGTTCTGGGTTGACTTGGATGGTTATATTCAAAATTCTTTCATTCACAAATTTTTCTGGACTTATGGTCTGTAGCCTATATATGATGCACCTTTATTTCATTTATTTATTACTTCTACTAGTTGGAATAGAAGTGGTCATATCTTGTTGAAGGTTTGGTGAAACCGTTTTTAAAAATATTATGTTATGAGTGAATTGTTATTTTTGTCGAATGATTAATATACTAATAGTAATAGTCAGTTGTTAAATAATGTTTGGTAAAATTCTGAATGTTGTGACAGTTTTAGTCGGTTTGACTGAACGTAGACGCTGCCTTCTCACTCTCTTTCTTTCTCGCATCTTTCAACTGTTTTGTTCTTAAAACATTTATATAACGTTGGGTGAAATCCAAAACCACTGCTGACTGTATCTTCAATATAATATCCTTCGTAATAAATCCATTTGTATCGAAAAATGCTGCAATAGATTGGTCATTTCCATCCAATTGAAACCAGTCTATAGCTACCTCACGACATTTGCCTCACATTGGGTTTGTAAAGGGTTCTGAAACCTCCCTTATTAACACTGTCTAAGTGAACAATACAAGTTAATTGAGCCTTTGTCGCCATTTCGTGTAGCTTCTACATGTATAACTGCAATGTGTTCCTCGTGAAGCACGCCATTGTGTGTTTACCAACAACACACGCGAATGTAGACAATAACGTGATTGGTCGATTGTGGAAAATACGATCACGTGACGCGGCGAACAACGCTGAATTCTGTCCAGTGACCTCGCGCACTATGAATTTTACTATCAATAAATAGTCCGGATTTCAAAGAAGAATATCACCGAAGAACTATGAAATTTTTTGGAGAACATTACAACAAACGAATATCTCTATATGAACTATACACTGACAAAATTTCTTCTAGACCGGATTTGTAGGAACGAAAATATTTTTGCAACGACAATTTGTGCCCATGGAATGCGGCCTATAGCTCGATTCCTTCACACGTCCAACAACAAATTACGACAGATTGACGTTTCACAGTTCATGTACTGCACATTAAGTTGAAAACATGCTTTTAAAGGGCTCACACACAATGCTGCACGTGAATATTGGGTTTTTCATGTGCATCTCGTGCAATTTTTTTTTTTGGCACACGGGCCGATATTTTTTGCGATTGGGAACATTGTGTGAAACAATTAAGTTCATAGTATTGCATAATATTATACATACAAAACCACCTAGTAATAAAATATTTGGGAAAAAAAAGTGATGCGTTTTCCATGGCGCGCAGTATATATAACCGAGATTACTTGGAAGTATGTCACGTGATTGTGTGACACTGAAGTTGGAATCTTATATGCACCTATGACTATGTCTATTTATACTTCATAATATTTCATAAGGTAGATTGGCTGTCAGTTTTCATTACTTTTTCATATTATATATTTGCCATGACGTCATTAAAACAAGGGCCTGGTGATAAGGCTTAGCAATACTCATGCGCAACTGCCATTACTTTTGTGCCACTTTTGCTAGCATTTATGCGCCAGAAATCGAAAAGTATCATGACGTCATAATCGGCATGTCAGAATAGTGCAAAATACTGTATTGTTTTCAGAATTATCGTGATTCTTTCGTATCCTATCATAGGATTTTCTAATAGGACAATTTTTAATGAAGGGATTATTTTCATTTTCCATATCTTTTCCATATTTTCAAGCCGGGTGTGCTGGGTGTGGGTCAAAATGTTCTCAACTAGTCCCATTTTTTAACTAGTTAAATTCTCTTGACGATACAATGACAATACGTTAATTAATAATATAACGATATGATAATTACTTGCAGGTCGGGGTTTTGGCCTAAATTAATCGATTTATGAGATATATTATTTGACAGAGATTATAAACAGATCTGCCACCAAATCGCATATTTGGAGTTTATTTTTCAAAAATTTTCCGGGGGAGAACCACCGGATCCCCCCCCCCCCGTTCGGGCTCCGCGGTCAGGAAAAAGGGGCCGCTCCGACACGGGAGCCCGGGCCAGTTCCCGGTCCCAATCCGCGCCTGGGCGCGAATGTCAAATGCAAGTACAAGATAAGGGTGATTTTTGGGCCGGAATATAGGTGTATTTTTGCGCCACAATGTTTCAGTCGTACTCAACCTGAAATGACCATCGCTAGGCCTCTACATTAAAGAGAAAGTGCGTCTATGATAAATGTATTTGATATGCTCTGTTTGAACTTCCTGTCAAGCAGGATACGTGGGCATGATTCATGAAAAAAGATTTGATATTTTTGGGGGACAGAGGGCGGGCGGTATTGACTGCTTTGGAAGCCAATTAACAAACATTATTTTCTATGTTAAACTATTTATTAAGATTGAGATGTCGGAAGTCGCGTTTCACAGATGAAAGGATGTTTGGTTAAACAATCTATGTCACCCCATTCAAAATTAGCATCGGAATATTGAAGCAATAAACAGTCCTGGTTATCCGCGACGTTGTTGGGTTGTCCAAGGTGCCAATCCGTGTATGTTGACGTATAGGGGGTCCCAGTATCTGTCCAATCAAAGTGTCCTTCCGATCTTTCGTCATTTCCGCTCGTATAATAACCGTACACACCAGCTGACTTCAGTGCTGTAATAGAAAATACTTTTGTTGTCAATGAAAACGTATTTAAAGATACAGTGGGGGGGGGGGGGTCGAGTCATAAAACCCATCACTTTAGCGACGCCAATGTGCAATCGTGTACAAAAAGAAACGAATATTGACAAATCCCTTTGTACGAAACTACTCAAATAGGCAACTATTGAACAGTTCGCCTTGAATTTCGATATGTGTCACGTGTAAAAATTGTACCCGCCCAGTAGAAGTAGAGCATAACAGAAACCGTCAACCATTCACATTAACCTATTGCACGTGCAGTAAACTAATGCAATAGATATGGAGTTTAACGTCCTACTCTTCTGCAGGAACAAAGTAAAGTATACCTGTTAGAAAACAATGGAAACATCTCTTTGTTAAACAAAATGGACAGTCGACTCAATTGTGGTAAAAGGATTGTGCGCATAAATCACTAAGAGACCCTTTTCTTTAAAAGTACTCCAACAAACCTGCATCTCCGTTGATATGATTGGTCAAGAACAGCTGTTCCTTCTGTGACGTCACACTGACTAATGATGAATGAACACCTTCTCTCCTGCAGGTTTTAGCGGCGTCATACCATGTGGTAGGCGTGACATGGAATGTGTAACACGATGTAGTGTTGTCTGTTTCGGTTTTTACCGATCCTGGTGGGCATACTGGGACATCTAAAGTGAACGTAAAACCACAATAATAAGTAAACATGGACTCATGATTAAACCCTTTTGTTCAAAGGTCCATCATCATGCATCAAAAGAGACTATAGTAATAAGTCTAAGAGGCGGGGCTGGGGGGGGGGGGGGCTGGGGGGTAGAATAAAAGAAGGTGCGTCAGGAGATCCCGATTAGTTTTTGATAGCTTAGGTGAGCAAAAAACCCCAAAACAACTTCGCCACCATAAGCTTGGCGTACAATTTTACTTTTCCAAGCTTGCCAAGGGACTGACACGTTACACACCCCGCCCCCATTTGTTCCACTGCCGTTAACTTTCATTTCAAAGAGTTAACTGTTGACTTATTTTTACTTACTCATATAAAAAAGCACCATTCAAACTATATTCGATGACTAGTATATGTATCATGTCGACTGCGATACGATATGTTTAAGTTAAGCTTTACTCACTGTTACAAGATGTATTATAAATATATAAATCATCAAACGCTATATCACCATGTTCATTATAGTGGTTAAATGATGAAGTGTAATAAGAATCGGTAGTTCCCTCAACAACTATCTAAAATACAAACAACGACAACAACTAATACATGTATAATTACATGCTGTTCCTTCAACAACTATCTAAAATACAAAAAAAAACCAACCCAAAAACAACAACACGTGTATACTTATCTAAAATACAAACAACAAAAAAACCCACAAAAAAGATGGTTCCCTCACCAAATATCTAAAATACAAACAACAACAAAAACAACAACTATATAATTATAGGTGGTTCCTTCAACAACTATCTACAATGCAAACACAACAGGGCAACAATTCGGCAATCTTGAGCCGAAAACTCATGATTTAATTTCCTCGACTTCTAGCTCCCTCGGGTTTTAAAATACTTGTCTTTTCAACGTTTCGCCCCCTCGTCTACTTTGGTCTTGATTATGAAATGATTGCCGCGGGCATATTCGAAACTGTTGACAAGAATTTTGGTGACACATACACAAGATCTGGCTGCCAGAAGGTGGTGGCAACGACATACGACAAACAATTAAATATACGCGGACAACATACACCCTTGAACGTGGACAAGTGGATATTGTAATAAATATATAGATTAAAATAACAGTTGAAAAATAAATAAATAAAATAAAATAACCTTAAAATGTGAAGCTGTATATTCTGAATCTAGACTGACTTCACCTAGGTTCCACCTTTGTCCTTGATTTCCAGATTTAGTCCATACAGGATAACCATTACCATTTCCAATCTACCGAAAACAAATTGCACGTCGATTCAATGTAGACATTTATTGGGGCTAAACCTTTGAGATTTATATCAGAATAGAGTGTAGAACTGGGCTGATTAGCGGGCCCGTAGCCACGGGGTTGCTTTGGGGTGCCTATGCCCCCCCCCCAAAAAAAAAATCGAATTACCCCCACCCCCCTCCAATATTTCGCCGTCAATAACGATTTTTTTATGAGTGTTCAAATTGGTTGACAACCCGTCGGCTCGTAGCATGGTCCACCGAGGCCTGCCTGTCATCATCACTTCCTGGTCCTCTTGTCTTGATCAGCCGCGCCAGCATGAGTCGCTTTGTTTTGTTAAACGCGCGTTGCTACGATACCAAGTGCCCGTCTGTGTCAATCAATCATTCATTGAAATTTCAAACTGCACGGGTTATTAGGAAGGGGCTGTCCACCTCATTACGCTAGAGGAAGAAGAAATATTCAAAATTAGCTCGAGCTCTTGATTAGTCTTGATGGTACCAGAGGCTGCATAATTTATCGCCATTTTTCTGTAACCTGCCCTTTTATACCCGGGTTACGGGCTTAAAAGAGGCCCAGGTTTCTTTGTTCTCCTACAAGGCGCCGGTTCAAATATTTACATTGCCTACACCAGATGTACGGTGCCTACGGGCGCCTAAAATGTAGGTGCCTATTGTTTCTAACATAAGTTGCCTATTCTATGAATAGAATAATAGAATACCTATAGTTCACTTGAAATTTGATACTACAGTTGTATTGCTCGGCCTCGAGTTCTCCGCGTAAATCAAAAGACACTCTCTACTACCCTCAAGATGATATGGGCGGGAGGAGTCGAAGAAGGAAATTTCAGAAAATTCAGTCATAAAACCCTGTCTGGGGCACTTCAATTTGAGGCCCAGGAATGCACTCAGATGCGAGGAGAGAGCACCAAATTTTCAAACTTTTCTAGGGGTGGACCCCCTGACCCGGCTCTCGCCAATCCAAAAAAATTCCATAGCCCCACCAAATTTTACGAGCTGGCTACGGGCCCGCTGATTAGATATGTCACATCAATAAATGATAAGATCGATATGATCATATTATTGTCGTTCCGAAATCGTAGTCGGTATAACAAGTGATGATGCGATTTACATCGTAGTCGGTATGAAAGGTGATGAAGCGATATGCATCGTAGTCGGTATAACAGATGATGAATCGATGTACTGTACATCGTAGTCAGTATGATAGCTGGCGATGAAGCGATATACATCGTAGTATTACCGACTAATCTTGTTCACATTCCAACATTCAAAGCATATTTTATAAACGATTGTCTATATTTACATAGCGTCCTTTGCTTGTTCTTACTCACAGATATAAACTTATTTTACCTTTGCATAGATGTGTAATGTTCTGATGTCTTGACCATACATATTGTACCAGAATCTGACACAGACAGCCGCTGCTGGTGAAATTAAATTCGATTCCATTCTATAAACACGGAATACGTGGTTTCCATATGGGCTGTTATCTGTATCCATATACATGTATACACCTACATAGCAAGATAAATAATTCATAAACACAAACATACCCCATCCTATAAAATTTGTCGGCCAGGTAAACTTGAGGGGGGAGGAGGTCTCTTCAATCAGTTTAACTAGATGGATTCCATTCACAGAGAGTGAAGGATCTATTTCAATCAGTTTAAAGGAGCTAAATCGCTAATATTTTGGACCTAGAAATTGGCACAAATGAGTCGCAACACATATAATAATGTAATATGAATCTATATAAACTGTTTTACATTCAATCGTGTCCGTTTTACTGTGAATTGTCATCAGTTATGTTCGGCGAAATAAATATTTGATATCAGAAGCCCATCTTTTTCAGGTAAGATCACAACACCAATGCTGAATTAAATTGCAAAAATATTCGTGTTTTCAATGTCGAAGATTTTGGATGATATTGAGTTACGGACTTAGCTACTTTAAATATACATTATTCAAGAGCTAAATCTGGCTACGTCTTTCTTTAGGCTTGAAATTTTATATAAACTATTAATTAGACATTTATTAACAAAACAAGACCATAATCAATTCTAGATGGCATCGGATACTCGAGATTTTAACTAGATTAGAACGGTTCGCCATTTAAAAATTTAATTTGAAAATGGGAAAGCGAGGCTAAGTCTCGAATATAACAGTGCTCTGGTTACCACAATGCACACATCTTGTCAAAGTACAAACAGCGATATCTTGGGTCAGAATAAAGTAATTAAAATGAAATTTTCAATATTTTCATTTTGCATTATCTATTTCCGAACCATTATAGTACGAATGGTCAGCTCTTTATCTAAATATTAACTAATGTATCTTTAAAGGGTCTAAATCGCTATTCTTTGGCGCCAGGAAATGAACACAAATGGGTCGCAACGGATAAATTAATGTAATATGAATGTGTATAAACTGATTTACATTCAATCGTTACTGTTTTTACTGTAATTTCTAATCAGTTACGTTCGGCGTAATACGTGAAGAGTCCAAATTGAATGACATACTTTATTAATAAGCCACGCCCACGAAGACGGAAAAACACTACTAAACTTTACTAAGGGGGATAACCCCTCACACCTCAGTGCAGTGAAGTCTTTACTACTTACCTTTCTGTGAACCATATGTGTGATCTTCTATTGGTCCAGTTAAACTGTTGATACTTCCGCTGTGAGATTTCCAGCTGTATCCAGTTAAACGATTTGTGTTAAAACCACAACTTTCGTTGGATGTTTGGAAGTCACAAAACGTCACATTGATAGAAGCATCGAGCACTGTTAACAAAACAACATACAGAAATAGAATTAATATTACTAGCTTAAGATTCCATTTTAAATGAAATTTTACAGGCGCAGTAGATTCTGATTCATTCATCTTTCATTTGTAATTAGATGGTTAGCCATGTTTCAAATTCAAACTAATCCTACCGGTATTAAAGGTTAAAGCATACACGCGATCGGAACACGGATGATAGGCCTATCGAAGAACTTGCACAGAAGCCGAGGTATACACCACCGACAATGATTTCGGTATACAATTTCAGACAACTCTAGCGGCACAAGTTAAAGCTTGTTACGAATATGCAAGAACTTTGACAGTATTAACAGGAAAAACCAAGATTGTTATAACGATTCGTATTTATGTTAAGCGTTCAATAGATCATAGTTTTCATTAGGTCAAGCACAACTTCGCGCCAGGTTTAAGATTCAAGAAATGACATCCTTTTGTAGGGACACAGAGACGAAAAGGCCATCTCTTCCGTTCTACATTAAAATCAGTCAATCCAAAGCAGCCAATAATTAGTGTAATGGTATGTGAACGTTTGGCTGAAATGTGTCAAAATGGTCTAGGATTCCTAACTCCAGAACATAGTTTACGTGGTCCTTAAAAAACTTGAATAAATTTACCTGGTGCTACTGTAGCTGTACCAGATTGTAACCCTAGAGTTCCACGACAGTTGTTCAGCTGGCTTGTAGTTGTTACTAACTCATCTCTGAGTCGGTGGATCTCTGCGCTGGCCTGTTGAAGCACTGCCGCCATCTGATCGTGGGTTTTGTTAAACTCGGCCTCCTTAGCTTGAAGCAACTGCAGTAGATCATCTTTATTAGATGTGGTGGTGTTGAGTTCGTTGGTTTCATTCTCCAGCACATTATAGTTATCTTTCAGTAATTTGAGATCAGTAGTCAAACCGGCTACCAAGCTCCTGAGATCAGCGATATCTGTTTGTAAGTTGGTACAGCAGGTGCTCGGGGGTTGTTCTGTTGCTGGTGAGTCACTCGGGAGTTGTGCTGTTGTTGGCAAGTTACATTGGCCCTGGTGACCTAACTGAACAGTGTAGGAACATTGGCCATTGTAGAAACTACATCCTGGTGTGAACTCTGGCCTCACATATCCAATCAGAAGAACAGTCAGAAGGATCATCTGCTTCATGACTAATAATTAATAAGTACTCAATTATTGTTAAAACCTATCTTTGTTTGACTCTGTATATGGTATGGGGATCGCGTGGCTAAGTGGGTAAGACGCTGGCTCGCTAGCCTGGAGGTTGGGTGTTCGATCCCTACATTGGCCGAGAAAGTTCATCCAGATTTTCCGGCGTGGTTCCCCATTGTCAGTGATGCAGGACGGAGGGCCGTAGTGCCGCTGTCCGGGCAAAATTTCCCTCATAGCACACTGTATGGCGTATGCCCGTCTTCATTAGCCCAGTTCGCAGCAGAACAGTAGGACATTAAACCCCATTTCATTTCTTCTGTATCAGTTATCTCAAGGTTCTTTGCAAATGGGCGCCACTGACAGGGTTCTCTAAGAATAGGACACCCGCAGATGGGTTCTTATGAATGGGACACTAACTCCGGGTTGTGAATAAGACACCAGCAGATTGACAAGGTTCTTTATGAATGGGAAACCAGATGTACGACTATTTTCTTTATGAATGAAACACTTGGCGCGTGTGGCCAGTTTCTTTACGAATGGGGCATCAGCTGTGTGACAAAGTTCTTTGTGGATGATACACCAGCTGTATATTTAGGGTCAGTATGAAAGGGACACCAACTGTATGGCCAGGTTCTTCTGAATGGGACATCAGCTGTTTCACCAGGTTCTTTATGGATAAGACAAAGGATGTATAACAAAGTTCTATGTGAATGGGACACCAATTATGTGTGACTAGCTTCTTTATGAATGGGAAACAAATTGTATGAGTAGGTTCTTAAGTCTAGATGCTTTATGAATGAGATTCTAGCGGTATGACTGGGTTATTTATGAATGAGACGCTAGCGGTATGACTAGGTTATTTATGAATGACTAGGTTCTTTATGAAATGGGACACTAGTTGTATAACTAGGTTCTTGATGAATGGGACACCAATTGTATAACTGGGTTCCTCTATGAATGGAAAACCAATTGTATAACTAGGTTCCTCTATAAATGGAACACCAATTGTATAACTAGGTTCCTCTATGAATGGAAAACCAATTGTATAACTAGGTTCCTCTATGAATGGAAAACCAATTGTATAACTAGGTTCCTCTATGAATGGAAAACCAATTGTATAACTAGGTTCCTCTATGAATGGAACACCAATTGTATAACTAGGTTCCTCTATGAATGGAACACCAATTGTATAACTAAGTTCTTTGTGAATGGCACACTAATTGTATAAACTATCTTCTTTATGAATGGGACATCAATTGTATAAATAGGTTCTTTATGAATGGGGCACAGGCTGTATGTCCAGGCTGTATGTCCAGGCTGTTTGTGAATAAGACGCTAGTGGTATCTATTTGCATGATATGATTATTGCTAAGCTAGTAACATTTACTCGGACACTGCAGGCCGGGTTACGTATCGCGTTAAATTTACTTCGATTGAAATAAACATGCATAATGACATAAAAGACTACCCCAAATAATATACTGTAATGAATAGTGATAGAAGGGAATGAATAAGATATTGTAGTATACATGATTAAAATACAGATGTGACGTTACACTTTGATGTTGGCGTGCCATTATTTCAAATAATCGTACGGGCAACTTGCCAATCGTACATTATTTATACTAGTGAAATATTGGATTCGTGTGATGTATTTCACTGTAAAAGCACATGCGGGGTGTCTGTGTTTTAAGTCGGTTAATGGTCTCGAGCTTAAGACATTACGTAATATATTGTAAAAACACTAGGGAATGAATTATATACCGTAGCCATGAGAGAAGTGAATGAATATATACTGGTAGTATACATGAATAGTGACAGAAATGAATGTTACTTAAATAAAGAAATGCAAATTGTTAAACAGGCTATAGATTCAAAACTTCAACAAAAGCGGTATAAGATGTTCTTGAAAAAACGAGCATACCCTGTCTCGTGTACAACACCCGTCTCTGTACAAATATCAATCAAAAAAATATAGAACAAATGGGCTACATTACAGCATTAACCCTAACCCTAGTACACCAAGCCGTTAACTACGTGAGCTCTTTAACAGATGACACGTGATAAATGACACCTGGGGCCTGTTTCACGAAATTTTAACTAAAGTTAAAATCTAAATTTTAGAAGATACTTCAATTTTGATTGGCTAAGCACTAAAATCAATCTAATATTATCCAATCAAATTATTAAAATTTGGATTTTATCTTAGTTAACATTTCGTGAAACAAGCCCCAGGCTATATCCCGACAAGTGCCCGAGTCCCGATACAAGGTTTAGATATGTGACCAAAATTAAAAAGCTTCACCCGATTCCTTTAGTACAGCAGACTAGATATGTGACCAAAATTAAAAAGGTTTACCTGATTCCTCGAGTACAACAGACTGTTTAAAGGACGTAGAGATCTAAAGGTTAAATATATATATATAGATAAATGATAAGAACTCTGATAAGACATGAATAATAGGGGAATATAGAGAAAATAAATCTATAAGCAGATCAAGAGAAAATATAAGATTTCAGCAGACCTAAGTCATATTTCAAGAGAACATGTAAAAGTAACTATCCATTAATAAAGACGACCATCCGATGGTCTAGAGGGTTGATTATGGGCTTGTCATGTGAATAAATGTCTAAATAATAATTTATATAACATTTGAGGCCAAAGAAACACTTGACACTGAAAATAAACGAATTAACTCTCTAAATACCCTTTACACTGTAAATAAATGATTCAACTCTCCAAAACCCTGGACACTGATTCAATTCTCTAAAACCACCAAACCCTGAACACTGTAAATGAATGATTCAACTCCCTAAAACCATAAAGCCCTGGATATTATAAATGTATTTTATTTATACATTAACCACCCAACAATTTATACATAATTCATATACAACAACAAATACATAATTTATATACAGTAATGACCACTCAACAATTTATACATAATTCATATACAACAATTTATACATAATTTGTATAAAATAATGACACAACAGTCACTAACATAATTTCTATAAAATATCACAGAACATGAAATATCACATTAAATATAGAATTATAAAAAATTTCATTCCTTAAATTTGCCCATTTCAGTAAAATCAATGCATTGGTTATTTTCTCCTAAAACATACCATAATATATACCTTCATATGGGTTAATTCAACATTACTTTTTTTCAGAGGTAAAAACAACGGATTAAAAGAGATCCCTCCAGTTAAAGGAGGCAAGTCTTTAACTTAAAGATACATTATGGGAGATTAGATAAAGAGCTGGCAGTTCTCACTATAATAGTTTAAAAATAGATAATGAAAAATGGATATATTATATTGAAAAATTCAGTCAAACTACTTTATTCTGAGTGAAGTTATGGATGTTGGAAGTTTTGATAAGAATGGTGTGATCTGGATTTTCATTGCTATCATTGTAACGATTATCCATTTTTTAAATAATATTGTTCATTGGCAATCGTGTTTCAATCCATTAATAATCACAACCATCCGATGATCTAGAGAGTTGCTTATAGGCTTGTCATGTGAATAAATTTATATAACAATTGAGGCCAAAGTAAAACAACCTGCAATAGACAGATTTTGTTCTTACATGATGCATCTTTAAAAGAGAAAACCCACTTATACTTCAGTAAAATAATCCAGGTTTATTCTGTGTGGAAGATCGTTAGAACACTCTATTCTAGACCTAAGCAAAGATCAAAGACTCTCTGACAGCTTTTTTAAAGAACTATCAACATCCAGTTGCCAGATTAAACTGTATACGAGAAATAACCTTGTGTCTGGACAAACCAATCTATAACAAAGTTGAGTATTATTTATCTCTACAACTTTCCGTCAAGGTTAATAGCCAATTAGGCTACACATTTTGTTTTGAGTCCCAAGTAGAAATGTGACTTCCCTAAAGAGACATCCTCACTTTAAACTAGAAAATAAAGTGATAGTTTAAAAAATCAAAGGTACAGTGGACATCAATTTTTTTTTTTTTAGCTGAATATCCCTAAAGTGTTAGTGTCACTTTAATAAAAGAACTGAAAAGGGGTTTAATTTCTTACTTTTCTGAACCAGCCTGCTAATAAAGACAATTTCTTTACTAGAAAATAATTCAGTTTTATTCAAATTACAGATTCGGCAGTGATTTTTTGTTTTGTTTTAGCAAATTTCAGCAGTTTCTTTGCAGCTATTTCTTTTTGTCTCTCTTCTTCATTCCTCTGTTGTTCTTCTAATTCTTTCTGTCTCTCTACTTCTTCCTCCTCTAATTTTACCTGCAGTTCTTTCCTCCACTGAAAACATGATAAATCCATAAATTATACAGTAATAATCTCTAGTAGGTCAATTCAATAGCCTGAATAAATTTGTTTTGTGAAGATGTAAAAAAGCAAACCCCCAAAAACTCTATTCCACCAAAATTCACAGTAATGTAGTTATCAACATGACAATCAACCATCTGTTTACCACATTTGAGTGTTTAAATGATGAACTATTTGAGTGTTTTAAATGATGAACTATTTGAGTTTTTAAATGATGAACTATTTGAGTTTTTAGATGATGAACTATTTTGGAGTTAAAATGGTCAACTATTTGAGTGTTTAAATGATCAACTATCAGGGTGTTTTAATGATCAACTATCAGGGTGTTTTAATGATTAACTTTCAGGGTGTTTTAGTGATCAACTATGAGGGTGTTTTAATGATTAACTATCAGGGTTTTTTTTAAATGATAAATGACGATCCCACTAGGTTTTTTTTCATGATAAATGATGAAAAATCGGATTTATTTATAATAAACAAAGTCTATACCAACCTGATCTTCTACAATTCGTCTTAAATCAAAACTTGTTCTTGTGTTAAAACCAACAGGCTCCTCGTATAAAGCTGTTGCTAGCATAATCTCTTCTCTATAAAACACAGCAATATTTCTTAATGGTGAAACATTAACATATGTACTACCAACATCTGTTGTAGTTTTACGAAACCAGAATTGGGTTGAACATCCACCGTATCTGCACCTAGTGGGTTAAAAAAGACGGCAGTGCGGAATGCATTACCCAAAACCTCAGTGTCCAACCACTGTTCATCAAATTTCAACTATCAACTGTTCTATTAAGTATGCACTACCATGTATACAGGACCTCAGTTTTTTGCTCTATCCAAACAACTGGACATTGTTCCTTGCCAGGCATATCTAACCTGCATTTTTTTTCTGCGTGTCAAATTAATTATCTTGTGAGTGGGTTAAAATCAACTTGTTTTGAGGACCAGCCTTGCGTTATAATAAATTATATTCTGTGGCATGTCGTAATTTTTATCGTTTAGTACCTTTAGAAAGAATATAACTAACCTAAGAGAAGTTCTAAGTTTGTTTCTAGTTGTTGTTGGTTCTGTGGGCTGAGCAAGGGGTTTAACCGGAAGTTTTTTAGGTAGTTGTATAACAACTGGGGGTTTTAACGGCGGTAGATATATCGACACGAGACCACCTGCTATACGACATCCTATAGAAGATGGAGGACATGAAGTCTCCATTTTAACCAACTGTTCCATGTCAGTATGTACCTGAAATATATGTTTATAATTGTCAAGGAGATCATAGGCGTACGCCTCGATGGATGTCAGGGGGTAGATTTGAAATGCTCGAAAAAATTCCTGTTAATAGATTGCTATGCTGGTCATCAGCCAAAGTCAAAATCTCGGAACTTACCATGTAGGGGTCTCCCCCAAGAGCATATTCCTGCTATTCTAGCTGGTGAATACAGCAACTTTAATGTGGTCCAATATAGCCTAATTTAGGTGAATTCCAAATAACAAATCAATTTTTGAAAATTTAACCGCTGCTGATGCATTTTTCTGCTATTCTAGCCCGTGAATTAAGCAACTTCAAAGTTTTCAATGGTTTTGCAACTACGAGTGACTCCAGACAAAATCAATTCAGTACAAATTCATCGTATTCAATAAACAGAAAAGTAAAATTGGTGTTTTATTAGACTTCAGGCACTTTATTTTGCCAACTAGTTTATATCATAATATTTTTCCCCACTTTACCCGTCTGCCCGAAAAGTCAGATTACCCAGTTGATTTCATTGAATTAATTAATATTGTTATATACTGGAATGGCCCATGGTTTTATATATCATCCATATAAATGAAATTTAATGATATGGAGTTTAACGTCCTACTTTTCTGGGCCATCATTCATAGGCCTATATAAAGGGACACCATTCTTTTCAACCCTATAGGCGACAAGAGGAAAAGTGGGGCCAAAGTCAGGAATAAAAATAAGAGTATATGAAAAAAAATAGAAATACCTGTCCGACTTTTAAAGCTTCGAGAACACGATGATCTTTCTCCAGTGAGTGAGCTTTCAGTAGAGTTGTCCATGCAGCATTTCTAATACCTTCGCGATTTACATCCTTCGCTAAACTTCTACATATCTTGACTAAAGACTGGATCGCTCCATACCGTAGCCTCCAACTCCAGTCTTTACTTCCTTGAAATTCAATCAATATACATGTACAATGTTCTTAATCTCTTGGGGAAAGCTCTCAATATAAAAGATTAAGCAGAAGTCAACTTTTTACTAATTTTAGGTGCAATTTTTAGTTGACAGTGTCAACTTTTTTTTACTAATTTTACTTTCAATTTTTAGTTTACTGTGTCTGATTAAGTGAAATGAAATGAAATGAAATGGGGTTTAACGTCCTACTGTTCTGCTCTGAACTGGGCTAATGAAGAGGGGCATATGCCATACAGTGTGCTGTGAGGGAAATTTTGCCCTAACAGCAGCACTATGGCCTACTCTTATATCGAATTCCAACTGTCAAGGGATCTTTTACGTGCATGCCCATGTGTACACGGGACCTCGGTTTTTCGTCCCACCTGAATGACTAGACGGCTGTCCTTGTCAGGCCCTTCGTCCTGCATCACTGACAAGGGGGAATCACGCCGGAAAATTTGGATGAACTTTTTCGGCCAATGCAGGGATCGAACACCCAACCTCCAGGCTAGCGAGTCAGTATCTTACCCACTTAGCCACCGTGACCCCCTGTCTGATTAAGAGGTTAGTCCACATATTGGCACATGTACATGATTTTTTAGAAGTTTGAATTCAGAGGAAAGTAAGTAGATGTTAAATTAATCATGGGTTATCTGATGAGTGAGCATATCCTGACTTGTACACCACACATGTCAGTACATGGGACATGATTTAAAGTTCAGAAGCTGGAAGCTGCATATTCTAACAATTTTGTCAGTCAAATATAACAAATTATTGAATAGTGATAACCAACAAACTGACCTCCATCTTGTTTTTCCATCTTAGTGTGAAAGAAAGCAAGATCTATTAATCCAGCGCTGGGTAGCGGTATCTGACCATGTCCTCGTCGATATGCCTCTGTCATATCCTCATTTAATCCAACTAACGCCATCTTCTGGATGTTGACATTGTTACCATGGATACAGATTTTAGCAAGGACATCGGTATAAGTGACTGCCACCTCCCAGTGCCAACCATGTAAACCAGGTGTATCAGCTACCTTGAAAAACAATAAATATAAAATCTTGATCCTACCTGTACTTAAAGCGAGAATTTCAAATTTTCTAAGAAAGTCAAAACATAATTATTTCTATGTCTTTTGCTCAATAGGTTATCAAATCACTATTATACGATCATGGGCATTATTTCCCACCCTTAAAAATCTATGACACAGGAAATAACAACTTACCTCCCCAGTTTTGCTATTGACAACATGGGGCAGCCATTTTCCAACGTTGGAATTTGAAGTTAAAAAATGATATTTTTGCCAATTTCTCAGCTGGCAATAGCGAATTATAGATTTAATAGGATTATTCTTTAACAAGGTAGGACTGTTTATGGATACCATCTATTTTAAGGCTTTATTTTAATACATTTTAAAAATATAACTTGAAAATTTGCAATTGCAACTTTAACAATAAACATAAACAAGATTGAAATGGGTTTAACGTCCTACTATTCTGCTCCAACAGGGCTAATGAATAATGAAGCATACACCATACAGTGTGCTATAAAGGGAAATTTTGCTTGGACAGTGGCGCTACAGTCTACACTTCTATTGAATTCCAACTGCCAAGGGATCTTTTACGTGCAAGCCAATGTATACACAGGACCTTGGTTTTTCATCTCAGCTGAATGACTATACATTGTCCCTTGCAAACCCCTCTTTCCTGCACCACCGACAAGGAGGAACTATGTCAGAAAATCACAATCCAACACAGCACCTCCAGGTTAGTGAGTCAACGTCTTACGAGCCACGAATCTCCAAACATAACAAATACCATGATTTAGGGGTTAAATAATCATGTTGTATGGTTGCTATTATTGTTTGATAAACAAATTTCTATGCTAAGTAACTTGTGTGACAAAGTGCTAAGTAACTTTCATCAAATTTAGACTATATTCTCTCATATAAAATATTAACATTTATTTAGATGCACTGAACCCATTGAACCCCATCTGTGATAGTATATGATATAGGCTTCTAACTTCTACATAAGCATGTATATTTTTTGTGTTTAATTACAGTCTTAATAAATACCACATGTTATTGACAATGCCGTGGAATTCATACCAGTCAGCCAATTTCATATGATAACATGTGGTATATATATATATATATATATGAAAAAACATAATATATAATGATGACCTTGTGTTTTGAGACTCAGTTTTTTTAAGAGGTTTGTATCAACTTTCCCTATTGTTGAAAGGTATATAACTATGAGTTTGCAGAGCAGAGACTTAGACTGAGACTTGGAGCTTAGGCCGAGATTATGGACTCACCCGAGTTCATAAACTGCTTTGGCAGAGGGATGGAATGGTTGTTTAAAATAGTGATGAACCGTGTTTATGTTATTGTTTAAAGTAGCTAAGTCTCTAACTCAGTATCATCCAAAGTCTTTGACATTAAAAACACAAATTATTTATCAATTTAAATCAACATTGGTGTTGTTATCGTATCTTGAAAAGATGGGCTTCTGATATCCAATATTTAAGACAAAATAAACATTTTATCATTGGTACACGAATCGTGTACCATAATGCGTTTCAGCGCCATTTGTAATAGGGGACTCGAAGAATGAGGCTAGACATATTCCACAAGTCATGTCAAACAGTGAAGCCAGATTCTTATCTGGAGAGCATGCGCAATAAATACTATCGGCGTAGACTGGAATAACCAGATGCTAGAGATAGCCATTCGATTAACACTTCTGGCGTGTTTCGCCGAACATAACTGATTTGAAATTAGAGTAAAACGGCAACGATTGAATATAAATCAGTTTATATACATTCATATTACATTATTATATGCGTTGTGACCCATTTGTGTCAATTTCTAGGTCCCAAATATTAGCGATTTAGCTCCTTTAAGTTCCTCTTTGATTTATGTTCCTCTTTCATACCCTGTTCCCAATGTAAATAAATATTATATTTACTAAACTGATACTCTGTTATCTGTAGTGTTACACTTATATTCCATATAATTGTGTTATGTTGAATTCATTTTAGCGTGCATTTTCTGATAAATACCGGGGGGTTGGGTGATCTAGCGGTTCATGCGTGCTTGTGAAACCATAAAGTCTGTCATTGAGTCAAGTGGTTTCGAGTACGGTTGCCTGTCCAACCTTGTGGGTTTTCTTCAGGTCCTCCGGTTTTCTCCATTATTGAACCTTATGTCTGTCCCAAAATGACCTAGTTTGTGTCGAGTGGACGATAAACCACATTTCGCTCTTTCTCTCTCTGATAAATACAAATGACCATCAATGGCTTAAAAACTACCACCGTAAAAGAACCCTTGACAGTTGCAATTCGAAATAAAATTAAGCAGTAGAGCTGCTATCCGGGCAAAATTTCCCTCATAGCACATTGTATGGCATATGCACGTCTTCATTAGCTCAGTTGGTGCTGAAAATTAGGACATTAAACCCCATTTTATTTAATTTCTTACTGGTATATTGGTGAATGTACGAATAGAACTACATGACGAGGCACGATCTGGATTGAATGATGTTCCACATTCAGCTTTAAAACCACTCCAACCATCCGTATACTGTGACTTCTCTCTCATCTTTTCTCCTTGTTCCACTTTAATATTACACTTATCACCATCACTGCTACAATATAAAAATAATTCTAACATAAAAAAAACATATGGCTAAAAGAAATGAAATGAAATAGGGTTTAATGTCCCACTGTTCTGATCCAACTGGGCTAATGAAGACAGGATTTATGGATAAATAACGGGGGGGGGGGGGGGGGGGGGCTGTCATTGCATCAAACGGCTTGGTTTTAATACCCCACTTGTACGTGACAAGGAGTACGGTCACCTGTCCAACCACATGGATTTTCTCTGGGTCCTCCGGTATTCTTCCACAGATAAAAGCTTCCACTCACAAGCGAATTATTGAAATATAATTGAACCGTATATTAGTTCCAAAATAACCTACAATATTATTCAATTTTATTTCAATAAGTCTCTTGTGGGAGGAACCTGGAGAAAAAACCTTGTGTGTGAGGTTGGACAGGTGATCCTACTCTTCGTCAAGTACAAGTGGGGAATAGAAACCACACCACTTGAGTCAATGACAGACTTTGTGATCTATCAAGCACACAATGAAAATTGACACTACGCTATTAGTATTAATCTTATCAAAACTTCCCACATTTATAACTTCCTTCAGAGCAAATAATTTGAACACAATTTTTAATATATTCTTTTTTCATTATCTATTTCAAAACAATTATATTGAAAACTGTCAGATCTGTATCTAAATCTTACATATACATCTTTCAGTATTTTTACCTTTTTCCTGCTTGATGTGAAACGTGGGCATTGAATGAGACTTCACGTTTATGTATATCACGGGGCGCCTTTATTTCCTTTAAAGCCGGCAGCGGACTATCTTCTTCTGTCATACTTAGATCTAGCGGTGGAATAGGACTTCCAGTAATCTTTGACTGTGATGATTGATAGCTGTTTTCACTTCGCTCGTTAATATCACTTAAAGAAGGGAGAGAACTGTGGGCACTATGCTTTGTTGACACCTGTTTTTCAGAATCACCACCTTCATCCGAGAAAGTAAAATCTGAAAAATATTATATTTGGATATTTAACTGTTATCAATTCACGATCAGACATTTTTTCCCGAAAATAAAGGGGCATAACTCTATTACAGACCACTACTCCTGATTATAGTGACTGACATGCCTCTTTTACCGACCACTTCTACTTAAAACCACATGGATTATAGCAACTGACAGACTTCTATTACAGACCACTTCTACAAAGACATACCTCTATTACAGACCATGTCTACCTGCTGAGAACACACTGATTCTAGCGACTGACATACCTCTTTTATAGATCACATTTTTTTGAGACCACAATGATTTTTATAACTGATCAGGGACCTCTATGTCAGACTCTTCTACCGAGACCACTCAACTGCCAATCTGATTAAAGTCACATACAGTTCATTTTATTTCTTAATGTTGTATAACATTGACATCTAATACATTTTCTTTGAAACTGGTGTTTAGATCATGTGAAATTATTGACCAACAAAAGTGTCAATAAATTTTGTTTACTTGGATTTAATATGTGGTGAATTTAAATAAAGGCAATTTTAAAACCCAAGGGGGGTTGGATGGCCAAATGGTTAGAGCGTGCACGCTGTATCATAAGGTCTGTCATTGAGTCAACTGGCGTGGTTTCGATTCCCCGGTTGTACGTGACAAGGAGTAGGGTCACTTGTCCAACCTTGTGGGTTTTCTCTGAGTCCTCCGGTTTCCTCCCACTGCTAAAGGCCCCTACGCACAAGCGAATTATTAAAAAAAAATTGAACCACATGTTAGTCACAAAATGATCTGGTTTGTGTCGAGTGGACATTAAACCCCATTTCTCTCCTTAAAACCAAGCTGAGGACCTTAATTTCATATAAGAAATGAAATGAGGTTTAACGTCCTACTGTTCTGCTCCGTACTGGGCTAATGAAGACGGGCATACGCCATACAGTGCGCTATGAGGGAAATTTTGCACGGACAGCGGCACTATGGCCTACTCTTATATCGAATTTCATCTGTCGAGGGATCTTTTACGTGCACGCCAATATGTACATGGGACCTCAGTTTTTTTCGTCCCATCTGACGACTAGACAGCTATTTCGCATATGATTTGGGTTGTAGTATGACTAATTGATATAATTCAACTATCACTGACAGAAAAGGATTTGAATGTTGGTTCGATTACAATTAACAAAAAAAAAAAAAAAAAAAAAAATCATTGAAATAAGATTGAAAGATGACCACGCAACCAGAACTTGTTACTGTGTAATGCCTACCTGTTACTGTGCTCTGTGAATGAGAACTTAATGGTGGGGAGGTAATTCTATCTGATATATTTACACCCTGTGCAAGACAGTGCAGAGCTCTCATGGCATCTAAATCAGTTCTTGCAGCATCTCCTAATATCTGTAGAGCAATGGTTCCATCAATCCTGCAATTACAATTATTCTATGCTATTATTTTAGAGAGAGAGAGAGAGAGAGAGTGAGAGAGAGAGGTTGGATACTATTATTGTAGGTTAGACAATATGAATCAACCTTGTTGGGGGGAGCACATCGATATGTCAATGAGGGGCGTGGGGGAGGACCGATTTATGAAAAGAAGCTAAGCCGTAGCGGTGCTGGGGGTTCCTCCCCCAGTAGATCTCTAAAATTATATTCGATTTAGTGTATTCTCAGGTATATTCTGACCAAGTCATACAAATTAAATACAATAATATTCTGGGTGAGTCATACAAGTTTAATACAATAAAAAATATTGAACATTTTTTTGGTATAAGAACTTCAGTCAAAGTACGAATGGCAGCCATTCCTTTTTAAAGACAAACAGTCTCTAATAAAAGGCTATATGAGAAACCTTTAGCCAAACATTGATCAACTTATGAACCCCAGTGAATCGTATCAATTCAGAAGCTTTTGTCAAATTCCTATGCAACAACAAAATCCATTATATCAGTTCGGATAAAACAAAAAAAATGAGGTCCGGTGTACACATTGTCGTGCACATAAAAATACCCTTGACATTTGGAATTTGAAATAAGAGTAGACTGTAGTGCCGCTGTCTGAGCAAAATTTCCTTCAGAGCATGCCTGTCTTCATTTAGCCCATCCAGAGCAGAAATCTAGAGTGCTAAATCCGATTTCATTCAAATTCATTGACTTACCAGTTTTCAGTAGCGAGACCAAGACCACAATGAGCTAGAGATGACAAGGCTTCTCCACATCCTCCACTCAACTGATTGGTACAACGCCATACATCTAATGAATGCCACAAAGTAGGACTTAAATCATGAACACTGCTACTGATGGCTGCACTATGTGTTGATACATCTGATCTCTTCTCATATAACTGTTTAGTAGCCTACTCAAAACATAAACTATTCATTATATTCAATCTTTTTATTCAATTCAGGGAATTTTTTGTGGTACCATTTTGTGGTAGTGGAAGGGGAGATAGTTTGGGCTGGATTGATCAAGCGATTGAGATTTAAGTTTTGATTGAGTTAATTTTACATAAGGTTTTTGTCTAATTTAAAGGTCACCGGAAAAGGTTCATAAATTTTTTAAATAATGCAAGTAATTATGTCAACATATCCTTTCCATAAGTATAACACGATCCCGAATGTCAATATTACCTGCAACAGGTAAATTTCAACATAGTAATTTCCGTGGGTAGTCGTAACTTTCCGTAAATAAACAATCTGTGACGTCATTTTAGTCCTTCTGCTCATATTCTAGTCTATATTTCTATGTGCAGAAGGATTGCTTATTGACCGAAAGTTACGACAGGTGAAACTTGTGATGGGTCTCCTTTTGTGGAGTTCTGGGTTTGAACCCTATCTCAGTTCTTGGTAATGAACTTTGGTCGTGAAAACGCAACACTTGTTATTTTTCACGTTTTTAAGCAGTCCCATGTCACACATTTTGCACGTGCATTCCCTGCACTCTGGCCCTTTAAATACAGATCAAAATTTCAACATACACCACTTCAGAAAAATGCCATGCCTTACACAAAAAAACAGGAACAGAGCTATTAGCATGCTGGATCAGGGGGCTTTACAGGTAGCCGTCACCAGACACTTCAATGTCCACCCATCGACCATTGCTCGCCTCAGACAACCCTTCCACGCCACTGGAAGAGTTACCGATCGACCCCAACCTGGAGCTGCTCAAGATCGCCACATCCGACTACAGCATCTGTGCAACAGGTTCCAGTCAACTACTGCTACTGCCAGGGGAACTCTTGGAACACGGCAACGTCAGATCAGCCTTCAAACAGTCAGAAGGCATCTGGCTGCTCTTGGGTTTACGCTGTCGTCGAACATACCAAGGTCAAATCCTTTTGCATCGTCATCGACTTGCCAGACAGCAATGGGCCGCAAATCAGGGGTATCTGCACAACACACCATGGCGAAATGTCATCTTCTCGGATGAATCGCAATTCAACCTCAGTTTTCCTGATGGACATCACCGTATATCTACCGACGTTGACATGAACGATTTGCCAAGGCGACTTCAGGCATGTGTAAGAGCTCAGGGTGGACATACCTGATATTGACTTCAGCTGACCCCTGCTTTGTTTCATGGTTCTCTGACGTTTCGGTTTTGTGCATTTGTAGTGAATTCTTTCATGAAATTATCCACAGATGCTTGTTATCTCGATTTTGTCAATTATTATGTATATTTGTTAAAAGTTGTTGCAGTAAATAAACTTTGAATTTGGCATTGCGTTTTTAATGGCTTTGAGCATATATTCCATGTGGTGGAAAGGGCTTAGCGTCTTACTTTTCTGCATCAACCAGGCTAATGAAGACAGAGATATGCCATATGATAGAAGAGAATTTTGCCCTGACAGCAGCTCTATGACCTAATCAATTTCCAAGTATTAGTGTGCCAGCGCCATGCTCACAGTGTGGTGGGGACTATAGATTAAACTTACATTAGTCAGTTGCTCTACGTTGCGTTCTGGTGGAAGTTGATCCCCTTCCTTGACAGATCCTCCATCTATCGGTGTATCAGCCAGAATTATTTTACCCACTTCTATTATAAACCGTAAAGATAGTAGAGCGTTTGGATATGGGTTGTACGCCTCTTGACATTCTCGTAAACCTAAAATACATTGTTTTAAACTAGATCAGAACATACAACAAACTGAACAAATGATTCAACAAACAAAACATATAGGTCACCGAACATGCATCCGGACTCAACAAAAGATTCAACGAACACAACATACAGCCAAAATGAACAAAGGATTCAACACAACATACAGTCCAACTGAACAAAAGATTCAACACAACTACAGTCCAACTGAACAAAAGATTCAACACAACATACAGCCAAAATGAACAAAAGATTCAACAAACACAACACACAGCCAAACAGAACAACAATGATACAACAATGTTAATTTAAACAAGAGACAGGGGCATAGATTGTATTCAGTGAGGGAGCCACGGTGGCAAAGTGGGTAAAATGCTAGCTCACTAGCCTGGTGAAATGAAATGAAATGGAGTTTAACGTCCTACTGTTCTGCTCCTAACCTGGGCTAATGAAGACGGGCATACGCCATACAGTGTGCTATGAGGGAAATTTTGCCCGGACAGCGGCACTACGGCCTACTCTTATATCGAATTCCAACTGCCAAGGGATCTTTTACGTGCACGCCAATGTGTACACGGGACCTTGGTTTTTCGTCCCATCCGAACGACTAGACAGCTTTCCTTGTCAGCCCCTCCGTCCTGCATCACTGACAAGGGAGAACCACGCCGGAAAATCTGGATGAACTTTCTCGGCTAATGCAGGGATCGAACACCCGACCTCCAGGCTAGCGAGCTAGTGTCTTACCCACTTAGCCACGTGATCCCCCGAGCTCACTAGCCTGGAGGTCACAGGTTTGCTCCCAGTGTTGGCCGAGAAAGTTCATCAGGATTTTCCGGCATGGTTTCCCCTTGTCAGTGGTGCAGGACGGAGGACCTGACAAGAACAATTGTCTTGTTGTTCTGATGGTATAAAAAAACTGAGGTCCTGTGTACACATTACCATGCATATAAAAGATCCCCTGGCCAAGCCTGTTCAGGATTATCCATCAACATGAACATGTGTGATGTATTATTTGTAACAATAGATTGGTTCTGTACTTACCATCAAGATATGTATATAATCTGTTTTTAAACTCGGAATGTCCTTGTAACTGTCCGGCCATGTGACTGTAGAAAAGTCGGGTAAAAACCAGCTGTCCCATCTACAAATCATTAAACATGATTATAACAATTATATCATATAATTTGAATGGTAAAAGTCGATTCAAAAGAGAGAGAGGTGGAGATTTAAGAAGCATACAAGGTCGGTACAAGACTAACATTTGGTATACACTGTATCTTTGTAACATTAATTTGTTGCTTAGAGAACAAGAGAAAACCTAAAAAGTCTGTGCTGTTACATATAATCTAGGGATCAAACTCATGACTTGCATAGATGACAGTGCCATGCAGGATCCCTCAGTGGTAACTAAACTGTATGTCCAGATATGTACGTACACAAGATCATTCTGATTGGTGAATAATTATGAAGCAGTTTCCGATTGTTCATTATAATAAAAGACTTCTGCTGAGTGAAACAGTCAAGGAGATCTAGACTACAATATAGTCTATATGTGACAATCAAGGCTACAATATGGTGGGATGAGGAAATCACCATTTTAAGCGATGATGTGATAAAATATTCAGGCCAATGGATCCTACAATTGTTGTGATAACCTATCATACCAGGTTGCTATCACTAAGGGGTTTTTGCAACAGTGTAATAACTTGATCCATTTGAAAAAACACAGACCCTATTTTGTTTTTTATAGTTCTACTTGTCTTCACTACACGTAATGGAGGCCATTGAAAGTATAAAAAAACGAAACGAAATATAGATGTGACCATACCTTAAGTAACTTAATTTCTGCTGTACGAAGATAGGGCTGATGAATAGATTCAGTACGAAGCCAATATAACATTGTCTCAGCCAGGAAAAACAGCGCTGGTATATGATACCTTTCAAGTGGAGACACTTCTAATGATGTTATCAAAACATCCAAACATTCTAAAAAAATATTTAAAACATTCTATAAAACATCTAATAAAAATATTCAAAACTCCAATAAAAATGTTCAATACATCCTAAAAATATTCAAAACAATATTCAAAACATCCTAAAAATATTCAAAACATCTGTTATATGACTAATAGTGCCATGATACATTATGGGAGATAAGATAAAGAGATGGAAGTTCTCGCTATAATAGTTAAAAACTAGATAGTGTAAAGGTAATTTGCTGAAAATTTCAGTCAAATTGATCCACTATGAGCCGAGAAAGAAGCCGGTGAAATTTTTGCATAGTCTCGGTTATCATTACTAAAATCATTAATATAAACAGCATAGTCTCGATTATCCACTTTTTCTGATTTAATTATCTTTGGCCGTTAGCGGCATATAGGAATCTAATCCAACCTACATCGAAGGCTAGCCTTGACATCGAGAGTTTATTATGGTCTGGATAAGTTAATTAATGTCTAATTGATAATTTAGATAACATTTCAGGCCTAAAGAAAGACTTGTAATAAGCAGATTTTGCTCTTGCATAATGCATGTTTAATGTTAGTGATTGGACAAGCTACACATAATTTTTGTTTTAGAAGATATTTGTTTACTTATTTTAGTTTTCTGTGTCAACAGTGGAACAGAAAATTGAACTATATTGGTTTTATATTCATAACACAAAACAAATCCAATGAAATCAAACATTTTTAGGGGTCTAAATTAAAGATTTCTAGCCATTTTAAGCATTAGCAACATATGTGAAAATCAATGGACATACAGAGATTTACTTTAACTCAACACAATCTTGATGTCATTTCGACTAACATATGGCACAATTTAAATTTTTTGGTGAGTCGCCTGCTCATAGTCATAGGGATTGTTAGCTGCCAGTGGGGGGAAATTGAAGAATCGAGAGAAAACCCTTGATGTTAGACAGGCGACCCTACTCCTTGTCACGGTACAAGTGGATCAAAACTATGCCACTTGACTCAATGACAGACCTTATAATCTAAAGCACATGCGTTAGACCATTCGACCACCTCACCCAAACCCCCATAAAGATTGAGAAAAGATATAAAATATATAAAAAGATATTATTTGTCTAACCTTCTTGTAGTTTGCCTTTACACTGTGCTAACTGCGCTAACTCTGTCCACGCCATTGGTAGGTTGACATGACGGCCAGTACCGCTATCTCTAACACCAGCTCGTCTCTATATCACATTACAAAAATACATTGTTCAAACTGCAACTCATGACTTTTTTATTTTAAGAATTCTTATATTGCGCCATTTTCAGAAAGGGTGCTTTAAAGGCACTTAGACCTTTCAGCTCCTTTTTAAAATTTAAGAGCTTCTAATTCTTAGTGGTTGTTTTTTTTCTGAGAACTCATGTCCAACTTCTTTATTTATTATGTAGCTTTATTATGTAGGCTAAAGGTTATTTAACAATTACAATACTAAAAACATTTCTGATAAACATTTTTCTTTAAAGTACTGTTACATATCTATTTCATGAAACAAACAAGTCAAAATTCAACTTCTATTCTAAAAATAATAATTCTGTTTGCTAAATATGCAAATTTGAAAACAATAATCTACTAAGATATGAAACAAAAACATATATACCTTGGATCTTTCCAGCATTTTTCTAGCAACACCTTCATATTTGTCTTTTTCACTCAGACTTTTGGAATTATTAAAATTATGCACAAACTCATCAGATACTTCTAAAGGGTTCCTGAAAAAAAAACAGATTTAAAAGTTAAAATACACAACTTTGTTTTAAATGCTTGCAGTAATTTCAACTATCCACATACGGTAACCTTAACACATGACTTATTGTGGTTATTTATGTCATGTAATAATAACCATGAAATAAACAAGCATTTATATTAAATTGTAGTACCTTGAGGAAGCGCCAGCTAGTTTTTTAGATTTGATTCCTTGTACATAGGACTGTTTGAGTAACCGTTCCTGTAGTTCCACTCGCTGACTGTGTGATATTATACCAAATTTATGGACCACAGGTAATTTGGTGACAGGCATGATTGTATTCCTTTCTTCTTCTTCTTACAAAAAAATAATAACATTTAAATATAAAAAAGATTTGGTGACTTTAACACTATAAATGTTTTTCAAGGAAGGAAGGAAAGGTTTAAGTTTCAATTCCACAGAAAGAAAAGTAGGTTCTTTTTCAAGACTAACACAAGCTGTTTTACTTATTTTGTGCAAGCCTCTTTCATAATGGGATGAAACAGAACATTTATGGAATGGAATGAGGATTAATTTAATAATGCCTTGTGATGGTAATTTTGCATTCTATGGTTACTTAATTGGGCAATGTTAAAGAAGCTATAAATCTCTATTCTCTGGAACCTAAAATGGGTCAAAAAGCACATTAATGTAATATGAGTGTATATATAAACTGATTTACATTCATTCTTAAAAATTTGTATTTTTGTAGTTTTGAATAGGCCTACAACAGTCTGTGTCAATTGGCTGTAGCCTACGGTTTGAAATTTTAAGTTATAAGCACTGAGTCTTTAGGTACACCAACATGCACTAGTTTTAAAATTGTTCACTGTGTTTTGAAAAAGATGTAAGATAACAACATTTAGTTTTGTGGATTTTTTTTTTGTCCTCCACTAAATTCCATCACAATATCCTTCCGAGTCATGATCATACTCATAAAATATATCTCCGGAACTAAATTCCACATGGGATTACATCTTTAAAAGGTAGAGAATTTGGTACTATTTCAGTAACGTACCTCTACCAGTTCCCATGATCGCAGAGACTTGAAATTTTCAGGGGGTATTCATAGGTCCTAGCCATGACCTCACACCAAATTTCAGCCGAATCTGTCAATAACTTTTTATTTTACCGTAGTTTAGCTTATAACGAGAAAGTTTATCCGATTTTGACGCCATTTTGTTTGTTTGCTATTTAGACTCGAATAACAAGCCCTGTCTACATCTTGAGACTATGACGAAATCTACAGGTCCTAGCCCTTACCCTAACCCACAATCCACATATGACGTCATTCGAGCCTAAATAGTCAACAAACAAAATGGCGTCAAAATCGGATAAATTTATCTCTTATACTATAAGTTATAGAAGCTAAACTACGGTAAAATAAACAGTTATTGACCGATTCAGCTGAAATTTCGTGTGAGGTCATGGACAGTGAACACCCCCTGAAAATTTCAAGTCTCTACATCACAGTCACTACTCACAGGAACTGGTAGAGGTACGTTACTGAAATAGTACCGAGAATTTGGCCCAGACACTTCAAACTGTCAATGGTTCTTTTATGTGCACACCAATGTACACATTAGTAGGTCATACTCATTTCTTATTACGTATCAACTGAAATATGGAATTCGGGGACTTGCAGAAAGTTGAAAATAAAACTAAAAGTTTATTATTTTCAACCCACTTTGGGACTTTCTGTCTTTTGGATCTGCTTTTTTATTTCACAAGTAAATAAATCCTCGTATGTACGTATCAATAATGCGATTTTCTGGAGTATTTTTTCCTGCAATATAATTACCTTTATTATCTGTTGGACCAGCGTTAGTTTTTTTTTCAAGACCGATTCATTAGGCCTATTTGTTTACATTTTACGACGCCATTTCCATCGTTTCTACGGGAGGTTTCCAAACATTTTACCGCAATTATTCTACGGAACGAAATGTATATTTTAATTAGAAATATACATCAGAAAATTTGTATGTTTTCTTCGGAGGTAAAACCTTTGAAATATTGAGAAAATTAGCATATATAATGTTATAATTTAGTAAATTAAATATTTATTTGCAATTCATTTATTTTAATTTTTTCTTTCGAATTTTATTATCCAATTGTCCTTGACCTTTGGATTGAGCAATTTTATTTCTAAATGTAGAGAGTTCTACCACCAAACAGTCGTTTTTATTCCAACAAAATAATTTCCACGTAAAAAAACAGAATGATTTAAAATGGCAACACGATCAAAAGCATGTTTTTCCTTTATATTATTTTTATGTTATGTAATATATTTCATGACACAAGAGTTTGACACTTTTTTCCCCAGACCGGCTGACAGTTTTTGAATGGAATTTCAATGTTTCCATATCATCATAATTCCAATGTCATGAAAACAAAGCGGGAGCCCGATTGTGGTTCTGTCATATATAAAATTCACATTAATTATAAGTATGACCTTATTGCGAGTTGTTTCACTTGTGATGATGGCTTGAAATGTTGTTTGTCTATTTAGATCAGATGACATTTTGGACTGACGACCTTTCAGACTCCAAAAAATGGATGTCCGCTGTTTCGTAACTTGGCTGTTTCGTACTTAGTTCATTTGTACCATACGTGAGCCGTTTCGTACTTCACTTCGTACCGCAAATTGATTGGTACCTTTTCCTATGTTGTTGAAATCAGTTGAAAGAAACTGAATTATATATGCCGAACTAGAATTAGAATATGCACAAGATTTGCACCTCAAATTGATTAGTTCCATTTCCTAAATGTGGTTGAAATCAGTTAAAAGAAATTGAAATAAAGGTGAAACAATTTGATCAAATCCAATGGCTACGCTAAATTTATAAAAATGGCTGCCGAACGAGAATTGGCATACACACGTGATTTGTACCTTAAATTGATTCGTACCTTTTGCTATATGTTGTTGAAATTGAAATAATAAACGATTACCTGCTCATGTGAGGTATGAATGAACTAAGTACGAAACAGGCAGGTTACGAAACAGCCTGCACCCAAAAAAATATGTTCTAGAGGCTTTAAACTCGAGGATAAATTGAATGAAAGGTTGAACAATCGACGGACAAGACACCTAGTAATGTTGGATGTTCTTTTTTCCTATCTTTTATTACTGTAGCGTTTATTGCAATAAGTAAAAGAAAATTAACAATGTTTTGTCTCACGTCAGTGCTTGTCAATGTGTCAATGGCTTCTTTGTGGTACATGTATATCTATACATTTGATTTAGTTTAGCTTTTCTTCATTTAAACTTTGAGGCCATATTTATATTATTATAACCATTTAAGTTAGAAGACAAATTGCTACCACTTCTCCTTTAACTTAAAATATTTTATTACAGGTTTTACAAGTCTTCAAACAACTTCATCGAACACGAGAAAAAGTTTTTCGGGGTGATGAAATAGCTCTAAAAGGTGAGAACCAAAAGTAAATTTCAAAAACTATCATGAAAAAAGCCAAGGAATTTTCTCAGCCAACACTGGGTTTGACCTTTTGACCATATTCTTTAAGCCACCATGGCTCCTGAACCTGAAAAAAATCCCCAAATCCCCAATAATATTTACTGGCTGTCCTTATGCCACCGAGAAGGAATGTACAGAACTGTTTTAAAACTTGTCTACAGTGGCTCAATGACTGAGTTAAGGCACTGGCAAGCTAACCAATAGGTCACAGGTTAAATCTTGATAATGGCCAAGAAAGTTCTCCTGAAGTGGTTTGCCCTTGTCAATGGTGCAGGACTAAGGGCCTGGCCTGAAAGATCCCATCACAGAATTCGGAAAAAAACAACTCTGTGAGCAAAATTGTCCTCATAGCACACTGCATGACATGTGCCCGTCTTCATTAGCATGGTTGGTGCACAAAATTAAGATGTAAATCTTATTTCTTTTCGTTCTTAACCTGTAGGGAAGATGTATGGTTTAGCACTAAACTGATGTAGGGTTATTGTTTTGAAAGGGTTTGTTCTTATGGGGGGTTAGTTATTAGGGTAGTGTTATAGTTTATTAAGGTTATTTTGAATCGCAAATACCAAATAAATCATTACTGAATGTCAATATTTACTTACAACTTTTAAACTGAGACAGTCAAACTCTGGTAGTCACGACTTTAAATTTTACATTTCAGCTGGCCGTGAAAAGATTAATACAGAATTTAAAAGTAATAAAAGTTTAACTGATGCTGATAAGATACAGGAGGTATGTATAGGACTATCATAAACTGCCCCCACCCCTCTTCTGTTTATTGTCTGATTTATACTACCAGTACATATCTCCACATACATGTCAAGCAGTGTTCCCAAGATGTGCAATAATCAACCTGAAATGTAGTATCATCCTCAATCAGTGCAGTAATGAAATGATGTTAAACCATGGGTTAAAGTGTATGTATTTTTAACTGAGGTATTTGTTTTAATATGTTTTCAAACTATTTTCAAGTACTATTATCTTGAACGATTGCCAAGATGAACATATCTAAGACTTAAATAGTAAGTGCAGGAGGACTGCATTACACACAAAATATAATTACAAAATCTACAAGATAAACCTGCGGATAAGACAGAATACATAGACATTGCAAGCTAAACCTCTAACTGGGGGATCACGTGGCTAAGTGGGTAAGACGCTAGCTCGCTAGCCTGGAGGTCGGGTGTTCGATCCCTGCATTGGCCGAGAAAGTTCATCCAGATTTTCCGGCGTGGTTCTCCCTTGTCAGTGATGCAGGACGGAGGGGCTGACAAGGAAAGCTGTCTAGTCGTTCGGATGGGACGAAAAACCGAGGTCCCGTGTACACATTGGCGTGCATGTAAAAGATCCCTTGGCAGTTGGAATTCGATATAAGAGTAGGCCGTAGTGCCGCTGTCCGGGCAAAATTTCCCTCATAGCACACTGTATGGCGTATGCCCGTCTTCATTAGCCCAGGTTAGGAGCAGAACAGTAGGACGTTAAACTCCATTTCATTTCATTTCATTTAAACCTCTAACTCAAAATTTTCCATAACTCATTAGCCCAGTCGGTGCAGAAAAGTAGGACATTAAATCTCATATCATTTCATAAAAATAATATCTCAGGTTGTAAGGCTTATTACCTTTCTGAGAGCATAATCAGATCATCTCAACTGATTTCTGTAAGGTAGAATATTTATTAATCATAGACACAGACTGCCTGATTTACTTTTGTTTCAGTTGATAACTATTGGTGTTGATTCAGAGATATTATTGAGGAAAACTATTGTTCAGGCCCAGTTAAATGAAGAAGAAAATGTATATGGTAAGCAAGCCTGGACATAGCACACCTGGCACAGCCCTTGTCAGACACATATTATCACACAATGTATATATTATAATATATATGTTGTGTGATAATTTGTGTAGGCTAAAGTCTGTGACAGGTGCCTTATATCAATGCTTGATGGTAAGGCTCTCATGTGTCTACAGATCGGTAGACTCTCCTATATATATGTTTCTTGTATGTTAGTTTGGTATAGGTAATTAGGTTGATTGTAACAAGGGTTTTACTGTTTCCACAGATCTAAATGTTTCACAAATTTCTTATCTGAATCTCTCTTGAGTATAATTCAGAGTTGCCAACAGTGCACCCGATTTTACAATGTTTTTGGATGATGAAACAATAACATACAATACATCAAACAGATTAGTAGAGACTGATCACTTAGCTTTCCAATATTAAAGTCCTGGTATTGGTTATCAGTTTTGTGATGAAATTAATTTTTTATAAATTTATTTGCAGAGCTGAAGATAACGCCAGACACTGCTTTAGAGAAAAATACTATTTTTGATCCGTTTGCAGATCTTCCTGCTCAGAGAAAAGGGAAAAGATGTTCAGACAAACCCATATGAAATTGAAAGTCCTTACTGTTGGTACATTTTAGGATATCGATGTTGACTTGTGTTTGTTATAAACAATAATATTTCACAAATGGGGGCAAAAATGTCTACTAAGGTTGGGGAAAATGCAGATATAAAAGTTATTGGTACATGTACGTGTGATTTGTGTGGTATGCAGTATACAGTTAATTCATTAATTGTAAACATTTTAGTTTAAAATTATTGTGTTTTTAAAAAAGATAAAAATAAAAAATTGTTTACTTTTAAGACTTGTATTTATTTTAAATAGTTCTGTGAGGAATAGTCAGAATGTAACACAGTAGCTCTTAGTTCCAACATTTTCATTCATATATGTATGGCTTTGTACAGTCACATGATATACTGTCACATTCCTCTACATAGAAGTGGGTGTTGATAAGTATGTCGTCTTGTCTGCATTCTGAAATATCACCCTGGGTGGAAGTGTACACATATTTAATAAACCCAAGTCTTAAATGTCACATACAACATCAAGATTGTCTGAATAGGTCATTCAGCAATGTTCCAAAATTGCATGAATAACCTATAACCCGGAGGTGAAAAGCACACCTTTGTTTACAGATATACTAAAACCTTTAATCGTCCATAGTTTGATTAACTGAGAGTTAATATGATTTGTTTTTAAGGTAGGTACATGTAGGCTATACAGTACCGGGGATGACATTCTAAATTTCCAGTCAAGTGTACTGGGCCCAACTCCTCGACTACCCCACTTATTTTTTGGGTCCCAACAGAGCCTCGTTTAACATGGTGACTAGGCAGCGCCGCTGCCGCGCACTGGCCAAAGTGTGACGCCTACTGAGCCGAAAAGTTGAAGACTGGGCGGCAACATACATACGTTTTGAAAATCGCCGACAAGGTTTTTCCCATGTGCCAATACTATATCATGGTGCGTAGGTTTACAAAATCGTCTTTCTGATTGTTTTATGGATATATATTTCTGTCTGCAGGTCAGCCGCAGCAGTGTTTTGATCTCGATTTTACTGGGTATTAATCAATCCATGGTTTAACAAGATGCCAAAACTAATAGTGTATCAAATCTCTGAAACTATTTTTTTAAGTGCTCAGAATTAAATTGAGTCTAAGAGAGTCAATTTTCAATTTTACAAAATCGTCTTTCTGATTGTTTTATGGGTATATATTTCTGTCTGCGGGTCAGCCGCAGCAGTGTTTTGATCTCGTTTTTACAGGGTATTAATCAATCCATGGTTTAACAAGATGCCAAAACTAATAGTGTATCAAATCTCTGAAACTATTTTTTAAGTGCTCAGAATTAAATCGAGTCTAAGACTAAGAGAGTCAATTTTCAAAATTTTCGGGGATAAGGTCCCCAGACCCCTCGCGCGGCGCGCACCTATGGTGCTCCAAATCCTTAGACGAGGCTCTGGGTCCCAATTATATATTATCATTTTATTTGGTAAATATTTGGTTATTTTTCTATTAAAACGGTTATTTACTTCAAATTTAGCACTTTTGAAATTGTAGGCCTACTTCAGTACTTCATGTGAGAAACCTCGGGGCCTAGTCCCTTACTCACACGCTTTTGACATCAATTTAAAAATTTATTGTCTCGCTTACAATTGTCCAACTGATTACTATAAACATGGACCTTATAATGTATTAAAAGGTCAATGCTATAAATGTCAGCCCAAATGTTTCTTGAGAGAAGCAGTTTCCCCAGAAATGCAAAGGTGAGGGTCATGTCACGTATATATGTTGTTGATTTGCTAGATGTAATGAGTCCTTTTCAGCCTTTACTGTTTTAATCAGTGTTTATGGGAATCACGACAATCACTTACTATACCACACTACTAAATTGTATTAAAATAATTATGCTACGATTTTATATTGAGTTTGTGGAGGTAAATGGAACTAACACAGAATAATATTTAGTTTTGATCTCAAAACAATCATCATTAATCGTTTTCCTCACTTTCAAATGCCATGCCAATATATTTTCTTATTGCGTAAATCAAGTACAACGTTCACAAGGAGGTCATGGGCCCCAGACGTCAGATCCCGAACATTTTATCTAGTTTTTGTTTCCTGGAATTTCGAAGTCCGATATCTGGAGCTCTGTAGCTACAGAACATGGCTAGCAGTAGATTTAGTTGTAGCATTTGTCTTGATGATTTTAACAACCCCAAAATTATTGACTGTCATCACACATTTTGCGAGAAATGTTTAGCAGATCACATCCGGACATTTTCGCATAATAATGTGTTTTCCTGCCCACTTTGCCGACGGAATATCTCGGTGCCTGATGGAGGTGTGAGCGGATTTTCTTCCAATTTTTACCTTGAGGAGTCCCTAATGTCTTCAGAGGGCAAAGATGGCAGTTCTTCCAAATATATTCCAAGATGTGATATTTGCAAAAAGGAAAATTCTTCTCAATTTCGATGTGTCGAGTGTGACCAGTTTATGTGTCAACCATGCAAGACCACCCATGATTCCATAAAAAGCTGTAACAGCCATGTTGTAACAGGTTTAGATGCAGCAACCATCAAGAAAGCAAAGAAAACACTCTGCCCAAGACATTCCCAGGAGCCGTTGATATTCTATTGTCGAAACTGTATGCTTACGGCGTGCTATCGATGTTCCGTTACAATCCACAGTGGCCATACGATTGTCGACATTGATTCTTCTCTAAGATCAGAGGTATCACAAGAACTTAAGAAGTTACAGATCGATTTAAATAACCAACGGGACCAATTTCAGGACCAACTGGATTTCTTGAAGGCCGAAAAATTAAAGATTCAGAACAAGTCACAAGTTACATGTCAACAAGTGGAAAGTCACGTTGAGACTATTTGTAAAGAAATTAGAAAAGTAGGGCGTGAACTACAAGAAGAGATTGAGAAAACATGTGCGACTGGAGTAAAAACAATGGATGACCACATCATAAATATGGAAAAATTAGTCGCCCAAGCGCAAGACATCTTGATGAAGACAACAGAGCTTTTAGATGATGACACAACAGTCCATATGGTCAACTATTTGCCAAATTTATGTCTTCAAAGACAGAAATTCACCGACATAGATGTTGTTGTTCCAGATGTGAAGATGACTGATTTTCATATTGGTGATCTCAATTTAGAAATGCTGTACCAGCAAGTTGGTCGTTTGGAGTTCAGAGAAATTTGCCTATTTCAATCAAAGTTTGATCTGAATGAAATTGCTGGTACACAACAAGGCTGCATGGGTTGCGAATTCAACATCAAGAAGCAGTTACGCTGTAATATAACAGTTCAAAAAGAGGCTGAATCCATTAGTTCGATCTTGAGTGCAACCAGAAATCCTAAACCAGGCGAGTATCCACACCCCTTGACCAATGACTTTGTTTTCATAGCTGTGCTCGTCAATAAAGATGAAAGAAAGTCGTTGCAGATAAAACTGAACGAGACTGTCACTGAAAACCAGACATTTTACATATTTAGATGGACCAGTTTGCTCGATTGGAAGGTTTTAGCGGATGCAAAGAATGGATTTATTGATGATGATAAAAAGGTTACTATGAAAATCATTGCTTGGGTAAAACAGAGATACTAAAAATACTGAGATCGAAAACATTTATCAAATTATATTGAACGCCTAAAACAAATTGGTTCAAATTGTTTTGAGATAAACTTAATCAGATTTGCAAGAGGGTCCAACAAACCACACACATCGAATTCGCCAATTTTTGTTTGTTTAATTTTTAATATGCTTTGGTGAAAATGTCTTTAAATCTCCCTTGGTTTGAGTAAGAAAAGAGTTACGTTACATGTAGGCCTACCTATAAGTAAATGAGTTTTAACTATTCTCTTTGTAGACATGATTTTTGTATATTTCTAGTTAGGTTGCTTGCCATAGACTATGAGCAAAAAAAAAGAGTGGCATGTACAATGATTAAACGGTAAGCTACATGTATATGTTGGCCTAACTGTAGAAATAAAATTAGATTGGGATAAAACATGTTAATTACAATTTTTATTTTTGTACAACGATACATACATACATTAATATGAATATATCATTAAAAAATAAAGGTTATTATTCATTTAGTTTGCATATAATTTATGAAAATAGACTTTAATATTAGCAGGTCTCAAAAAAAAGGCTAATATTAAAAATTATTTGTCGTTGGTGTAAAATTACTTTTCTAAAAATAGAACACAAAATGATTTGAACAAAATCAGTGTTATTAGAGTTTTTAGCATTGATTTTTGTTTACTTTGTTTACTTTGTAAACAATATTTTATTTCAAATGGATGAAAAAGGATCAGGGAACAGGCATAGCCTATATCACCCCTCTCCTCATTAATTAAAATAAGCATTCATTTACTTGCTTTTACAGTATAAGCATTGTACTGTACTTAAATAGTACAATAAGTGCAAGGGGACTGCACCACACACAAACAATTACACAAGACAAACCTATAATTATAATTAATGGTACATATATACAGTACTTATAATCACTGGTATTTGTACTTACATAGTAAGTGCAGGGGGACCGCACCACACACAAATACAAAAGACAAAGCTACAAACAGAACAAAATATACACAGACATGCACATATCAGATTAAGCTAATGGATCATATGTACATAAGTTTATAGTCATTGGTAGAGTATCAAATGCTTTTGTATATTATCTGATTCAACATTCAGTAGTAGAGTACCTTTATATGGTCATTAAATTTATTGAATTTTATTTTTAAATATATTTTCATTGGTAGAGTATAGTATTCTTTTGTGTATTATCTGATTAAACGTACAGTAATAGAGTACCTTTATAGGGTTGTTAATTTTTGATTTTTTTTTTTTTTAATTTATGTTTAAAATATCATGATATATAAAACAACACCCTTTTACTGTATAATCTTGTTTATTAAATTGATTGTTATACAATTTATCACTTCTAAAATATTTTATGTTGTTTTTTTTTTTTGCTTTATGCCAAGCTTCAGAATCTGTTTCTCTTTTAAATTAGCCATATATATACCACAGCGTCTAAGGCTGCGTTCACCTAGGGTTATTTGTGGATCATTTTCTATCATCGAGTTATAATCATTGGTTTGTGGTAAAATGTACAACCCGATTGTCCCTGATCTTTTTTCTATGTGATAGCTACTGGCAGACTATAGATCATACAAATGCATACTTTGGTAGTGGAGATGGTTTGATGAAGCCTGTGATTAGATGCTGCTTTTGTTTAGTTTTGTATGAACAAATCATTATATCTGTTTGGGGGGGGGGGTGGCCGACCGAATGGTTAGCATGTGCTGTATATCATAAGGTCTGTCATTGAGTCAACTGGCGAGGTTTCGAATCCCCGGTTGTACGTGATACGGAATAGGGTAACCTATTCAACCTCGTGTGTTTTCTCCAGGTCCTCTTATTTCCTACCACTGCTAAAGACCACTACGAGCAAACGAATTATTGAAATAAAATTGAACCATGTTAGTCCCAAAATGACGTAGTTTGTGTTGATGGGGGGTCTAGTGGTTTAACACGTGCTTGAAATCACAAGGTCTGTCATTGAGTCATGTGGCATGGTTTCGATTCCCCATTTGTACGTGACAAGGGATGTCAAACCTCGTGGGTTTCCTCCCACTGCTAGGGACCCCTATGTACAAGCGAATTATTAAAATAAAATTGAACCATATGATAGTCTAGAAATGACTTAGTTTGTGTTGAGTGGATGTTTAACCCCATCTCTCTCTCTCTTTGCACAACATACAACCTCCCCCAAATCCTCTGGTACTGTCTGTTGAACAATCACAGATGAGAAATCAAGCTGATTGCAATAAAATAATCCATTAGTGCTCAGAATTTTGCCAGCTGGCCAACACTTTTTGCTATTTTGCATTGTCACAATTAAATGCTTCTGGATGATTCAGTATAGTCACAGATACAAATTTATAGAGATTGGCTTAATTGCTGGGGGTACATACAGAGAGTAGGGGTTCAGAATCACTTTGGCTAAAGATAACATAAAAGTTTGAAATTTAAGTATTTTGTCATTTATTTCTGTCTTTCCATATTTCATGTTTATCTTCCGCTAGTCAGACTTGTATTGATCCTATTTTAACCTTTTTATACGCCCACATTGAAATGTGGTCGTATATTGTCGTCGGTCCGGCGTCCACAATTGCTTGTGGACGCTCTAGAAGCTAAAGTTAATATCCGATTTTCAGCAATTTCTGATAATTACTGCCAGAGTTATGGCTCTTGATCACTTCAAAAAATCTTGTGGACGCTCTAGAGGTCAAAGTTAATATCCGATTGACTTCAAATTTATACACAGTGTTTGAGGTCATGAGACAAAGAAGCCTATTGATTTTCACCGATTTCCGATAATTACTGCCAGAGTTATGGGCCTTGATCACTTCAAAAAATCTTGTGGACGCTCTAGAGGTCAAAGTTAATATCCGATTGACTTCAAATTTACACACAGTGTTTTAGGTCATGAGATGAAGAAGTCTATTGATTTTCAGTGATTTCCGATAATTACTGCCAGAGTTATGGGCCTTGATCACTTCAAAAAATCTTGTGGACGCTCTAGAGGTCAAAGTTAATATCCGATTGACTTCAAATTTACACACAGTGTTTAAGGTCATGAGATGAAGAAGCCTATTGATTTTCAGTGATTTCCAATAAATACTGCCAGTGTTATAGCCCTTGATCACTTTGAAAAATCTTGTGGACGCTCTAGAGGCTAAAGTTAATATCCGATTGACTTTAAATTTATGCACAGTGTTTAAGGTCATAAGACAAAGAAGCCTATTGATTTTCAGCGATTTCCGATAATAACTGCCAGAGTTATGGCTCTTGATCACTTTGAAAAATCTTGTGGACGCTCTAGAGACTTAAGTTAATATCCGATTGACTTTAAATTTATGCACAGTGTTTAAGGTCATGAGACAAAGAATCCTATTGATTTTCAGCGATTTCCGATAATTACTGCCAGAGTTATGGCCCTTGATCACTTTGAAAAATCTTGTGGATGCTCTAGAGGCTAAAGTTAATATCCGATTGACTTTAAATTTATACAGTGTTTGAGGTCATGAGATGAAGCGTATTGATTTTCAACGATTTTGGATAATTACTGCCAGAGTTATGGCCCTTGATCACTTTGAAAAATCTTGTGGATGCTCTAGAGGCTAAAGTTAATATCCGATTGACTTTAAATTTATACAGTGTTTGAGGTCATGAGATGAAGCGTATTGATTTTCAACGATTTTGGATAATTACTGCCAGAGTTATGGCCCTTGATCACTTTGAAAAATCTTGTGACGCTCTAGAGGCTAAAGTTATCATCCGATTGACTTCAGATTGGTACACAGAGTTCAAGGTCTTGGGACGAACAAGTATATTGATTTTCAATGAATCTTTATGACTTGAACAGCTAAATCCATGATGTTAAAAGTTTTGTATACTAAACGTTAGCATGGGGCAAAACTTTATAAAAACCAAACAAATTCTAATGGTTTTCTGATAATTACTTAATGAGTTGTTACTCTTAATCAGATTTTAATGTATTATAAATGTTTCATTACCGAAAAAAGTAAAAATATGCGACAACTCTTGTTGACTGCCCGGACGATATAGCTGCTGTGGGCGTATGTTTCGTTGCCTGGCAACCTATCTTTAACAAATGGTAAGCATTCAAAGTTGAATGTCAATTATTCATAGCTAACAGCATTCAGAGTCGAATGTCAATTACCGGGTATACATGGTAACACCAGGAACATTCAGAGTTAAATGTCAATTCATGGTAACACCAGGAACATTCAGAGTTGAATGTCAATTATTCATGGTAATCCTAGCATTAGTCAGAGTTGAATGTCAATTATTCATGGTACTATTACTGCATTCTAAAGGTCATGATTGTTGAATTATATTGTTTTACTAGGCATAAGCCTCAACTCCGTCATGTTGGTGCTGACAATGACATGTCATAGAAGACATTGTAATTCCATTGTTGGAAGAGTTATTCCACTCATGTCTGAAGGAGTTATGCTAAAAGTTACAATGGTTGGTATGTTGTGTTTTTTGGCAATGCAAAACAAAAGAAATATTTAAAATAGAGAGAGAGATGGGATTTAACGTCCACTCAACACAAACTAGGTCATTTTGGTACTAACACATGGTTCAATTTTATTTCTCTAATTCGCTTGCACGTAGGGCTCTTTTGCAGTGGGAGGAATCGGGAGGACCCAGAGAAAACCCACGAGGTCTGACAGGCAACCCTACTCCTTGTCACATACAACCGGGGATTCGAAACCATGCCAGTTGACTCAGATTTAAAATAAAGATGATTTATAAAACAGTAATACGTTTAGGTACAGGTATAACATTTAAAAAAAAGTCATTATTTAGTGAATAGTGAATTATAGGATTAATAGGATTATTCTTTAACAAGGTAGGACTGTTTATAGATACCATCTATTTTAAGGCTTTATTTTAATAAATTTTAAAAATATAACGTACAAATATGAAATTGCAACTTTAAATACAGTATTCAGCTATCAAGTTGTATACTAGGATTTTACTACAATGTGCTCTCATGGCCAACCATTTTAATCTGACATGCAAATTGAGTTAACTGGAGACCTCAAACTAAGATGGCTGATCTGTGCAAGAAATAGGCTTACAAAATCAATATTGTGACATCAATTTTACAACATAATAATATATATATATAAACACAACAAAATATTGATATTATGTACAAAGGTAAACATTATGACAATAGAAGGGGTCACATCACCATTAAACAATTTTTCAATGCACTGTAGTCCGCTTTAATTATACAGTTCAAACAAGCATCATTCTTATATCAAATATCCAGTAAGTACCCCAAATACTTCAGTAAAAAAATGTTTTATGGCGTCAAGGCTAGCCTACCTTCAGTATTTCAGCTAGCATCATTACAAATTAAACTCAGTACAGTATTATATCATATTGACTGTACGCAGGAATGCTGTATAGACATAAACAACAATCATTGCTGTACAGGTAGGATATAGCCTACTGCTGTACAGGTATTCAACAGGTAAATCATACAAAATAAAAATTCCAATTTGTTTTCTATGGGCGTTAGGAATGTTTGAGCATAGGAAAAAAGTCAACAGATGGTCCAACTATTTCTATATTCTAACAATAGACAACTATTTCTATATTCTAACAACAGATAGTCCAACTATTTCTATATTCTAACAACAGATAGTCCAACTATTTCTATAGATAGACAACTAATTCTATATATAGACAACTATTTCTATATATAGACAACTACTTCTATATTGTAACAATAGACAGAAATGAAATGGGGTTTAACATCCTACTGTTCTGCTCCGACTGGGCTAATAAAGACGGGCATACGCCATATAGTGTGCTATGAGGGAAATTTTGCCTGGACAGCGGCGCAATATCGAATTGCAACCGCCCAGGGATATTTTACGTGCATGCAATTTCTTTCATAGCACACTGTATGGTGTATATGCGTATTCATTAGCCCAGTCGGAGCAGAACAGTAGGACGTTAAACCCTATTTCATTTCATTTCAATTGACAAATCTAATGGCTAAGACGCAGACACAGTGGTAATTATATACATGTATATATACAGTGATATAAACCTTTCAACCATATTGCACTTTAAATGTCAAACTATACAACAGGTATACACATGGTAGTTACTGGAAACAATTGATTGGATAAAAAAATAAACATAAATACAATATATAATTCATTGGTAATATTGATGGCAGTAGGATTTTGGCTACTGTGTAAAAAACATAATATTTTGGCTACTGTGTATTAAAAATCCATTTTGTATAAATACAACTAATGGTCAATTGACTAAATATATTTATCCTGCATGTTATATGGCAAGTAAAACATGAAATTGCAGTGTTTCTATTTTAAAAACTTGTGATTGGTTGACTCTAAATCAACCTACCAATCAAAACTTGTGTGAAATGTTTTGAAAAACTTTGATTACAATTGTTGTTTTGAGACTTAAGGAGACATTATCATTTTTCATTTGACAATTTTATTTAATGTCAAAGTTGAAAAATCCATATACTGTTATGGCAGTGTATTTACATTTCAAATTCAATCAAACAAAATCAAAATTTTTTTTTTTTACTGATTGACGAAAATTTTAAAAGTGCCTCTATAAGTAGTCTCAAGTATTGAGTCTGTTTATAAGTAGTCTCAAGTATTAAGTCTGTTTGTAAGTAGTCTGAAGCATTGAGTCTGTTTGTAAGTAGTCTGAAGCATTGAGTCTGTTTGTAAGTAGTTAATAAGGTATTGATAAATTTGATTATGGCTCGGAACTGAAAGTTCTAGACCTCCAGTTGTTGGACTGTTGTTAAAGAATTATGCAGTAATGTATAGGTCTCTCTGGAACTCTTCAACTGCAGTTCTGTAAATTTTGTTAATATTTCACCAAAAGCTAAAATTCTTTGCTGTAGAAAACTTTTCAGCTGAAAATAGAAGAGAAATGGATTCAGCTTGTGATGAAATGTGATTTTGGAGAGAGATAGGAGGGGAGAGAGGCAGGCCAAGGGAGGGAGGGAGAGAGAGAGAGAGAGAGAGATTGGCAGCAAGGGAAAGAGAGCAAGAGGGGGAGGGGGAGCAAAGGAAAGAGAGAGAGAGTGGGAGATTGAGATCAATGGATATAGAGAGATGGGGTTTAACTCTACTCGATACAAACTAAGTCATTTCAGTACTAACATGTGGTTCAAATTTATTTTAATAATTCGCTAGCGCGTAGGTGTCTTAGCAGTGGGAGGAAACTGGAGGACCCAGAGAAAACCCACGAGGATGGACAGGTGACCCTACTCCTTATCACGTACAAGCGGGGATTCGAAACCATGCCAATTGACTCAATAACAGACTTTGTGATCAAATGTTAACCATTTAGCAACCCACTCGGCCCAATTTGAGAGAGAGAGAGAGAGAGAATGAGTGAGAGAGGGGTGAGGGGTTTATAGCATTTGTATATGTTGAACCCTTTGTCTTTCATTGGTGCAGTAGAGGCTAAAGAGGATAAAATACTTCATATATCTAATATCTTTATTTAAATTGATATTGGTTGTCTGTTGAATTCATTTTGAATAGGGGAATAGAGAAGAACAAACCGAAGTCCCATATACATGCACATAAAAAAAAACCTGGACAGTAGAACTTTAAACCCCATTTCATATCACTGTCTTTGTTACAAAATCCTGTCCGTCTGAAATTTGTATTGGTTGTCAAGAGTAATGTCCCCTATTTAAAGAACAGCTGTAATAACCAAAAGCAGGCGTATATTTTATATTTTATCTCACCTCTATACGAGCTGTATCGGTACAGTCTTCATATTTTTTCTCGGCTTCTATTTTTGCTTCCTCTGCCTTCAAAAACAAAAATTGTTTATATAATTTAATATACATGTAGTTAAGATTAATTTGAATGTCCTGTTGTAATAAAAGATGTAGAACTATCTGTAAGGGAATTATTGGACAAGTTGATATTTTCGAGGAGGAATGCAAACAAAACAATGGACATGCTCCGAATCTATAAATATCAGAAGTTTACGTCAAGAGTATGCACAAATTTGATAATCACAGACGTTCTTTTTCATTCATGATTGCATTGTATTTGTGATCAGTGACATCTCAATATAATAATTATTCACCAACTTATGAATTACATTAATCTCTCATTTCTTAACATATCTACTCTACTTTGAGAATAGTTCTCTGCCCTAAATGACTATACTGTTTTGTAATGCCGTCCTACTCCGGTTCTCATGTTATACATCTTTTCAAATTTATTAAATGAAACAGAAAATATACTTCTCAAAATTCTCGAAATATACTTAGTGTTTTCAACTAAAATTGTTGATTTAGAACTTAAAATGTCGGTCGACTAGCTTAGTGTCTGTTCTCAAGCAAAGCTAATTGTAGACAGTTTAGTATGTGGGTATTATAACATCTACTACAGGAGGTCACGGATGTAGAGTGGTCTTCGGCAGAAAATATTACCGTTATATATTTAAAGGGAAATGTTGGACTTACTGCCTGTCTTTTGGCTACTTTTGCTTTTTCAAAATTTTTATTAGCTTCTTCATAATTCAGTAGTAGACAAGTTCTTCTGTATAACATAGACTGAAATATGAAAATATTTAATAAAATACTTGTGGCTGTTCCATTTATAGCCATTTCTTAAAATACTCATGAATACTCCATTCGTAGCTTATTTCATAAAAGACTCATGTGGTTCCATTTATAGGAATTTCATCAAAATACTCATGACTGTTCCATTTAAAATGTCTGGAGGAGAACTTTATTAAGCTGGCTATTTGGGAAAAAAGGGTCTTCAAATCTAGACTCTTTGGAGGGGGTAATGAATGCATGTCTTGCATACAATCTTTTGAAAATTACTTTTGGCAAATAGCTGAAATAAATACTTTTTTTGTTGAGGGAATCACCAAAAGGTTGAGCTCTCGATCCCCTCCCCCAATATGGAACCGTACCCAATTATTTTCAAATGGAATAATCCAAACAAACAATTCTGAAGAACTACACCACAAAACCAATCTGATTAAAACACAGATCCTATTTCGTTTCGTTTTTTATAGTTCAAAATTTCGTTTTACTTGTCTTTGCTACACTAGGATCTGGAAGAGTTGATATATTACCAGCATTTTGGTTGAAGAGAGGGATTAGCCAAAGAAATGGTCTGTTACAGCTAGTTCTTGGCATTTTGATGCGCGGAAGTATGAGTAAACCACTAGAAACATCAACGCTGATTGATCAATCAATGTCTGACATCATAGGGTCAAAAGACGCTCGTCTGACCCCTGACGTGAACTCCCACTATAACTTGTCAGATCTTCATGTAGTGTAGGCCATCGAAAGTATAAAAAAACGAAACAAAATATAGATCTGTATTTTAATCAGATTGTCACAAAACATAACTGATTTTATTGTGCTGTGTAACTCAACTGACTTAAAATCAAATGCTTTCACAATTCATGTCGATAGAAAATAATTCTGTGTATATCAGGATTTATTTTAAAATTGGTACTCACCCTAACTGATTCCATATATCTAGTGTACAGATCTAAAACATGACCTAGGGTTATCTCCCCATAATTACATATCATCTCTAAACCACGCTAAAATAAATAAACATATAGTAGTATATTATATTCTATACTTCATGGCATCATTTCATGACATGGCAAGTTTTCATTAATACTACAATATCTTATACTCTGTCAAATGACTATTATCATAAAGCGGATAAATTATTTCCCAATCTTACTGTTAAACAGACATTATGCAAGAGCTAAATCTGCCTATTGCAGGTCTTTCTTTAGGCCTGACATGTTTTCTAAATTATTAATTAGACATTAATTAACATATCCAGGCCATAATCAACTCTCGATGGCATCGGATTTCTCCAATATTACATAGATTAGAACAGTTCAGGCATATTTTGATTTGAGCTAAAAATGGAGGAGCGAGACTTTAGCTTTGAACAACCAGTACAGTGGTTGAAATTATTGTACACGTCTTGTCAAACCTTCAAAGGCTAATATCTTCACTCGCAATAGAGTAATTTGAATGAAATTTTCAAATTATTCATTTTACATTATCTATTTTCGAACTATTATAGCAAGTATGGCCATCTCTTTATCTAATTCTTACATAATGAATCTTTGACAAGATTAGTTTTTCATCCATAGTTTAAGGTAAATCAGCCTTTTCCAAGGGAAATTTCTGTTTACAATGTGAAAGCCTGATAGTGTATGATAAAATCAACAATTTCACAGGATAAATTAAATACACAGTGACAGATAGATGACATCAGCAAGGGCTGTTTAAATTATAGATACATGTAGTTGTCCGTGATTGACAAACACAATTTTGTAAAGCTTTGAACTGTATTACTTTTACTCAGGGAAGATAACTTCATGGATGCATTATTTACATCACAAGGTCATAGTTCAGGCTATCCAACATTACCAATTCAACCCTAGTTGTCGCCATCATTTTCATTTTCATATAATTATGATTTTTACTCACAAAAGAGAAAGCCATCTTTGAAACTTACCCTTTCATTATCTAGACCATGACTAAACTTATACATAATTCTACAAAAAAAAAAAGAGAGAATATTTTCAACAGTAATTACTTTAATAAGAGTGCAAACTAATTGTACATCATCTAAACAGTGCCATACTCAGCTGGGCATTTGGGGAGTTAGGAGTGCTATATTGTCGGTCCGGAACATTCTGAATTAATGGAACTGCCTTCGAATGACAGAGATTTCAGTCCTGTCACAGTTCTGGGGTGAGCATAACTGTGATGTAATCAAACGTTTCAGCCATGGTGACTGGTCAAGAAAGTATCATATTCAGTTAGCTAGCGTAAACCTCGTCACCTGAAATTCTTGCGTTTACTAGATTGACACCCTTTGAGAGATTTCAATTAGAAAATACTCAACTGTGCCCATCTAAAATTTACATCATTCTGAGAATCATGTTTGCTATTGTGTGATGCTGGCAGAATTTTGTCATAGCAACAACTTGAAATTTCATACTGAACTAACCTGTTAAGTTTAGTTGTATAATGAACTAACCTGTTATGTTACATGTTAAGTTTAGTTGTGTAATGAACTAACCTGTTAAGTTTAGTTGTGTAATGAACTAACCTGTTAAGTTGTGTAATGAACTAACCTGTTAAGTTTAGTTGTGTAATGAACTAACCTGTTAAGTTTAGTTGTGTAATGGACTAACCTGGTTAGTTGTGTATTGGACTAACCTATTAAGTTTAGTTGAATATGAACTCACCTATTAAGTTTAGTTATGTAATGGACTCACCTATTAAGTTTAGTTGAATCTGGACCACTAGTTCCATCGGCTACAGTAACTTCGGCTGCTAAATTACCATAGCTACATGATAGACCTGTAATACAAGAATAATTAGTTAACAAAAACAGCAAATGATGTTCAATATTTCATCAAAACCATAATTTCAACATTTTTAGACTAACATCTGGTAATTTTTATTGTATGAAATATGTACACTAGACATCTGTTTTTCAACCCACACAAATGAAGACATGCTCAACTTGTCAGCCTACCAGGCATTACTGCTGGCAAAATCTATGCGGCAACTATATTTTAACAAAGTAGGCCTATCAAAATTCAGGCATATCTGTAAATTATTTCATTTTTGTTAACTTTTAAAATGTCTTCCCTGTAGCTAATATTATACCATCAAAATGTACTTACGTAATTGAGCATGAACCATTTTATCAAAATTCTGAAATGAAAGAAAACTGACAATTATTGTTGATACAACGGTACTGCTGGAGGAGAAAGAAAGATGGCACATTCCATTTGTGTCCATAATTCTATTTGAGTAGATCCAAGACACAACATTTGAGTAGACCCAAGACACAATATTTGAGTAGACTCAAGATACAATATTTGAGTAGACCCAAGATACAATATTTGCTACATCTTCCACAAGGCTGTGGGCTGGTAGTAACACATTATACACTACGGCATCAGAGCTTTGAGTAAATACATTACTTATGTCACAGACTGTTCTTATTCACTTTAGAACCTGCACCAAATGCTGATATAAGTATTTTTATTTTTACACAGTATTTGATGAGTTCAGTTGCAATTTAAAGGTGGACTGTTACAATAAATCAGAATTTAGATCCTTCACCTGTAGAATTTAATATCAGTTAACCAGCATACTCCTCGCAGTGTTTTGTTTGATTAGAGCTAATCCCACTTAACACTACTGTAATGGAAGAAAATTTTTGTTCCAAATTATGACTGGTCAATAGTCCAATTAACAACCAATATCTAACTGTGTAACAATATTATCATGCTTTAAACAGAGCTCCAAATTGGACCAAATATGTTAACATAACGTTATCTCATGACTCATGATTTTATTATGCCCAATTAACCAGTACATAGCAGAATACTGCAGCAAAAATAACTGTGTGACAAACGAGGCTATCAACACGGATACAATGTAAACAATACTGTTTGGAGTCGAACAATACTTTCACTGTTTTTAATACCTTAAATCACTGTCTAAAGTTTTAGGGAAGACCCCAGATTAAACGAAGGGCTGTCATGTTGCTGTACTTGGGATAGATTTGATTGAACGGGAAGAATAGACACTCTCTCAAAAGCTCAAGTATCAGAAGCCAATCAAGCAATGGCCAGAGAGGGATTTCTCAAGCCATTGTTTCAGGAATATGGTTATCCAGCAAATGTACACCAATATACATAAATAACTTACTGTGGAGGTTTCTTTAATAATTTTTGAATATTCTGCGGCCCATTCACGTTTCTTTTGGAAATATTCATCAATATCCTAAAAAAAATAATTACAAAAAAAATTTGAGGTTGAAAATATTCAGAAATACATAAAACCAGCTGTCAGATACAATGTTGAAAGGTTGTATGCAACAGTAAGTAAATTAGGAAATTTCCATCAATCACATATCTGAAAATTTTTGATTTTAAATAATTAAAAACTTCTTTTAACTGTGTATGATTTGTTTATTACAGTAGCCTTAGTGACAAACACTAATAAGTGGTTTTACTAAATATAAATATACATGTATGATCTTCTTCTTGTATGGTTGAACGTCCACTTTCACCTTTGGTGATATTACAGAGGATTCTTTATAAGCTGTGTTAGCATGACTCTCAACACTGATATCAGTGTTACTACAGTATGATAATAAAAAGCCCCTTACCCTATGGTTGCCTTTTCTCACTTCTTCTACAGCATCTGTAAACTTGGATAATAAACCTTTCTTTAACTTACTTCTTACTGGAGCCTAGAAAAAAAAGATTTAGGCATAAGCTAAATAATACACACTCCATGGGCAACACAAAATAAGCTAACCAGTTTAAGTCCTCACAAAATAAGCTAAACAGTTTAAAAAGCTACAAAATTAGCTACAAAATTAGCTAAACAGTTTAAGTCCCCACAAAATAAGCTAAACAGTTTAGGTCCTCACAAAATAACAATACTAAAAATTTAAATCACTATATTCTAAATGAAGTTTGTCAATACAGAAACTTTAGCTAGATGATAAGCAAGGTATCTAGGACATACATGTAGGTGTTTAAATAAAAGAAAAATATCTAGCAGCAAAATTTATCTTGTAATAGTAGCAAAATATTCTATCAACTTACAACTGTATCACAGAGAAATTTTTCTACAGCTACATCTCGTCCAAATGCTGGATGGTTTAATATCATCTTCAGGTATCTGTAGAAACATAAACGTTATAATAAGGATGAGTTAGTTAAATGTCATAAATCGGTCAGTCGAGTTTATTATATAACTAAGACATGGGCTCCATAGCAAATACGCCCACATTAGAATTGGTGGAAATCCAAAACGTACTAGTTTGAGGTGTGAGTAATAACAACATGAGAGTTCACAAGTTGCCAAATCATGTTCAGCTTTGATATTGTAAAGAAAGCTTCATTAATATACACCTACATAAAATATAGGCATAAGAGAGAGAGAGAGAGAGAGAGAGAGAGAGAGAAAGAGAGAGAGAGAGATTTCTTTTAAATTTTCATGATGGATGTTAAAATTTCACATTTACCCTTCAACATTTTGACAATCATTATTAAAATCATCAGGTTTAAGAACTTTGGTATCGTTGCCTAATTGTTGTTTTGATTTATTTTCAGCGCTACGTGCATCTACATCTGGTCTTGTGGGTAATGGCGGAATCTAAAATACACAATAGCAATAAAATAATGCCAAGTTACAGATATATTATTTAACAAGACATAAAATCACATATCAATTTTAGGGAGGCCTATATTATTATTTAATACAACTTTCCAGACATAGTGTCAAATATCAATTTTAGGGAGATATTATCTACTAATAAGTCAAAAATATGTAGGCCTACTTGACCCCATCATCTGATTCAGTGATATCACTTTAATATTGACTCATAGTACATTTATATGGTCTAAAATGTATTTTTTCAGAGATATTTGACCATTTCAGACCGTCTTCTGCCATCTTGGATTGATCATCGATTTTCGCCTAGATCCTCAAATCCGATTTGGAAGACTTATGGTATTTTGATAAGCAAGTACCCTAGATACAAAAACAGTTGAATTTAGCTTTCTGCAAATTTATTCCAGGTACAAATCTAAATTTACCGGGCTAACATTAAAACAACAAAAGTTTTATAAAGGGCTATATTTTAATTAAAATAAGGTAAACAATTTTGAGTAGATTCTTAAATTAAGTCTATGAATGCTTTGTGAACTCAGGGCTTCCGGATCATTACTAATTTAGTGAAGGTCGCAAATTTCTACGATCAATGTACAACTCAGCTTATTTGGGTAGATTATGAATCCTGTTATCTATGCAAGTCATGGGTCTGATCTCACAGTTTTTCTCCAGTTAAAAATGACCTAGTTAGTGATAAGTGGATTTTATTCCCCCTTTCCTAACTCTGCCTCTGCTTATATTGCTAGATTTGACCATGCACTGCATGGTGCATGATACGCGTGACAGTTAAAGCTAAATAAGATTTGATCCTGCACTGTGCTGCACTGTGCACGACACGTGTCTGCTGTCACAGTTATAGCTAAACAAGATTTGATTCTGCACTGCACAGTGCATGATCCCAGTCACAGTTAAAGCTAAATAAGATTTGGTCCTGCAGACCTGCACTGCATGGTACATGATACCTGTCACTGTTAAAACTATCAGTAAATAAGATTAGACCCTGCACTACATGGTGCATGACACCTGTTACAGTTAAAGCTACCAGTAAATAGAATTTGACCCTGCACTGCATGGTGCATATCCTGCACTACATGGTGCATGACACCCGTCACAGTTAAAGCTAAATAAGATTCATTAATTGAAAACATCGACATGACTTACAATAACTCCATCCACATTGTTTTGAGTTGTTAAACAATGATGTAACCATTCTATATCTTCATACTGTCGATTAACTATCGTTCCAGTTTCCTCTCCAGCTCGTGTTGCCATGACAGTAAATTGTAACGTGTCGCCATCTTTAACTGCGTCAGATAAACAAGCTGTGAAGAGAGGGGTAAATATGGCATCTTTTCCTGGTGAAGAATCGCTGGAACTAATATCATACTCAGATGAATCTTCTCTCTGTCAATAATAATTCAAACTAAATAAAATATATTCAATGAATGAATGGTCGATTATCACGATAATGGATGTTTTCTATCAGGAGGGATGGACTTAGAAATGGTTCACAACTGATGTCTTCCAGCTTGTATGGTGGATTATCACGATAACGGATTTTCTCTATCAGGAGGGATGGACTTAGAAATGGTTGACAACTGATGTCTTCCGTCTTGTTCTAGCCACAGTAGTGGAACGTTATAAGGACTTTATTGCAGCAAGTTTTGTCACCATTTGATGACAAAATGCTATTGATCTATAACTCTATTACACTGACCCCAAACTGAACTGCACATATCTTAAATTAGTGAAGTCTTTAACTCAATATCATCAACAGTCTTTGACATTGAAAACACAAATTATTTGTCAATTTAAATCAACATTGGTGTTGTGATCTTATCATCAAAAGATGGGCTTCTGATAGTGATATCAAATATTAAAGACAAAATAAACATTTTACCATTAGTATACGAATTGAGTACCAGAATGCGTTTCAGTGCCATTTGGAACAAGGGACTTGAAGAACGAGGCTAGACATATTCCAAAGGTCATGTCAAACGGTGACCCATATTCTTATCTGGAGAGCATGAGAAAAAATACTACCGGTGTAGACTGGAATAACCAGATGCTAGAGATTGCCATTTGATTGAGACTTCTCGCATAAGCTTATTTTGCCGAACACAACTGATTTGAAATTATAGTAAAAACAGAAACGATTGAATGTAAATCAGTTTATATCCATTCATATTACATTATCATATGCGTTGCGACCCATTTCAAAACGTTTTTGTGCCCGGTCGGAGAGAACCACTCATGACCAACTGCAGTGGGGGTCATTGCAATCACTGGACCAGACACGGGGACCTTCGGTCCATCTCTGTTCTCTAGTTATTTGATGCAATCTTACCCGTTTTCTGTTGCTAATTTTAGAATATATAGAAATGAAATGGGTTTTATCGTCCTACTATTCTTCTCTGACTGGGCTAATGAGGATGGTTTACAATGTGTAACTTCAAATGTGTCTTATTTGAAATAGGGAGACACAGTTTTCTCAGGGAGTAAGACACTGGCTCGCTAACCAGAATGTCTTGGATTTGATACCCATTTTGACTGAGAAAGTAACTCAGAATTTTCCAGCAGGGATTCCCCTTGTTGGTGGTGTAAAACAGAGGTCCCGCGACTCCTGTGTACACATTGTCATGGGCGTAAAAGATACCCTGACAGAATTTGAAATTGGCCATATACTAGTGCTCCTGTTAGAGCAAAATATTCCTCATAGCACACTGTATGGCATATATCTGTCATCACTGGCCGAGTCCGTGCAGAAAAGTAGGACATTAAACCCTATTTTCATTTCCTTTCATGGTGTCTTTGCAGAACAGTAGCATGCAAACCAAATTTCATTTCATTTTGTCTTATAAAATTGTTTGGTGTTTGTTTTTCCTTATCTAGCATAGATCTAGCCTTAAAAAAGGCAATTTGATCACTGTCGGCATACAGTGAAAAATATGTTTTTAATTTGAACTGGGAGGCCGTGTAGACCTACATATTAAACACATTCATTATGATATTGGCAGAAGATACCGGTATAAAAAAATATAATAAAAAATTAAAAATGATCACTAAAACTTATCTAGAATAGAGCTTTAGTGGAGTTTGTAGGACAAATGCAACGTTATTCTATTTCAAGTATTAAAATTGACCTACATTAAAATAAAGTATTTTATACAATTAATCAGGGGGCGTGACTTCAAACTGTCAAGTGGTTGAGGAAAAACGCACTTTTCCTCAGTGGAAATTTTAATAATTTCACTGCTAACATACATGCCGTCTAAGACTATTGACTCGCCGTGCACAGAGTCGTCATTTGCTCATTTTTCCTACAGCATGTTGGCCACATATATGAAAAGCAATCTTAAAAATATATAATCTTTTAATATTTTTCTACACCTACCTGCATTTTAGTTTTCTTATTTCTCACCAGGTGGCGTTGTCCAATATAAGCTGGCCGACAAGAAGAGCAGCAGGGAGCATACATCATAGAGGTGGCATACATTCAGCTTCAGCTGATGTAATATATTACAATGATAATTGATTGTCCACTGTTGGACTACAGACTTTATATAGTTATTTCTAAATGTTTTAAAGAGAGATGATTTTCAAGATCACTACACAAACTTATCTTTACTGTATGCTTATCGTCTGCCAATTTGTATTTGGTGCTGTCAGTCACGTGACTATGTTTACTACATCCTACGTCATTTAAAGTGTCTGAAACAGAAATAGTAATAACTAATTTGTTTTATTAATTGCAATAGTTTAATTATAATAGTTGTACAGAATTAATATTTCTCCGTAGAAGAAAGAGGCACGCTAGATGTCATCATATAGTAATAGACCCATTTGCACACGCGCCTATAAACTAAAATGGGATATTTGTCAGGAAATCGGTCTACTTTCGGTTTATTTTTTTCTTAACTAACTATAAACTGGGTCCAAAACGAAGTACTAGGCGGGTCGGCAATGGGCCTATGGGGCACGCCAGGGGACCCATGGGCCACGCCACGGGACCCATGGGCCACCACGGAAACGCTCATCGGGAGCCCCACTCCCGCAACAAATGCCAGTTGTATACTGTAGAATGCAGTGAGTATTCTCGATATGTTAGTCAGCGAGTCGCATCATTACAAATGGCTCTCAACAGCATTCTGGCGCGCCAATTTTTAAATGTTCACTGAGTCTTAAAAACTGGATAGACCAGCTTAAATTTCTTCACACATTGCATCAGTAAATATGGAATGTGATTTGGCCCCACAGGTCTGAGCCCCCACAAGATTAATCCTGCCTTGTAGGCTACTGAATGGCGACAAAACATTAAGAACGTTCAAGAGTCTTTTTTGAAGCAAGCTACAGGAGGAAACCCTCACTGAAAAACCAGCATGTCAGCAGTTTTGCACTATCGTAGAACTGCATGTGTACGTACACAAATGAAAAAGAGCCTCTCATTATTCACTCATTAACAGATCTGTAAATTTCAAATCCCCATGACCACAGAAAGTACTAGATGTACGAAAGCACATGTATGTGCAATAGGGTACCACAAAGGAAAATAACGCATGATCACCAGTTTGTCTCGGATCTATTTTTATAAGGAACATATTTTATATCAGACAGGAATCAATTTTTTCTTACTATAAATCTATAAATCTTTGATTAGGTGTTATACTTCTATAAATGATGGAGCTGTGGTGACTGTGTGAGGACGGCACAGACTCAATAACCAGGTTTAATCCACAAAGTTGATTAGGTATTATATTTAAATACTGATAAAGAATTCTTTTAGCATCTACCATATTCTATTACCCAATATGTATCTCAGCAGATTGTTAATATGTATACATGTATATAATGGGACGAAAAACTGATGCCACATTGTACACATTGGCGTGTGTGTAAAATAACCCTGGACAGTTTGAATTTGATATAAGTGTAGGCTGTAGTGCCACTGTCAGGCCCAAATTCCCCTCATAGCTCATTGCATGACATATGTCCATCTTCATTAGCTCTGTCAGAGCAGAGAGGTAGGATGTTAAACACTTATTTTATTTCATAGATTCTTCTTTTGTAATATTTTAGGACATGGGTTGAAGTGAAATTTGTTATAATGACAAAGCCTGTGACTGTGTTGAGTGCCGTTGGGGGGCTATTTATAGCAGTTGGTGTATATTATGGTGTTTTATCAACTATGATCTATATAGGTGTTCATGTTGCTATAGCAGTAGTAGCCCTGTATTTCGGAGCACAGTGGAGTTTGATTCAAGGAAAGTCGTATAAACCTCCAGTAGTACCGAATCAAGTCAGCTATACAAGTTGTCTTATACAGAAAATGATGGTAAGTCAGCTATTCAAGTTGTCTTATATACACAAAATGATGGTAAGTCAGCTATACAAATTGTCTTACACACAAAATGATGGTAAGTCAGCTATATAAGTTGTCTTATACAGAAAATGATGGCAACAAAAAGCTTTCTACACTTCTTAGTAATGATGTGCCGATATGGGGACTATCGGTAATTAACTGATATCAGACAATGACAGTACAGCGAAACATATTGGCCAATACAGATAAATGGAACATCAATACTTATTAGATGTTTGACTTTTTCCCGAACAATAATATGCATAATGGCATCCTTATAATTGGACCATATATTTGTTTATTTTCAATTTTTATGTCATTTACTCACCAGAACATCTTTAATAAAAAGTTTATGTTGGAGTAGATTATCAATATATCCCAGGCACAACAAAATAAAGATATAATTTGATTGGATTTCAGTTTTATAATTTTACATGTCAGATAGCCAGCATAGATCGTATCACTACATGTAGGCTTTTGATTTGCCGTTAACGTTACTAAATTTTCATCGTATAGTAATATACAGTTTTAAATTAGATTATTTAAGGTAATATTCATGTTATATGATACCGTAGGAGCGAGAAGGAAGCAACCCTTCGAAAATAATCCAAAAATAAAATCCCTTAGCATAGCTCCGACAAGACTTTTGACGAAGGTCTAAAGAAGGTATTTATTCTGCCACGTCCTGGGCTGTTATATGTTATAGTTTCATACGTCAGATATAATATATATGTATATGTGACATATTCATATTTTATATTTGTTTATAAACAGGAGCAGAATGGTAAAACGGGTGATGTTTCACGTAAACTTGTGATATCGAGGAATATAGATAATATTATTCAGGAAGTTTTAGATCTGTGTACACAAGATTTTATATTAACATGGTATACAGACATCAGCTTGAAACAACAACCACTTATAACAGCTGTACAGTAAGGTTTATATATCACTCGACCCCCCTCCTCCTGTACAGCAAATTTTATATACCCTATTTTATATACCACTTGAGTCCCCCCTGCTCGCACACAATAAGTTTTATATACCACTCGACTTCCCCCTCCTTTCGTACAATAAATTTTATATACCACTTGACTCCCCCCTGCTCCTGCACAATAAGTTTTATATACCACTCGACTCCCCCCTGCTCCTGCACAATAAGTTTTATATACCACTTGACCTTGACCCCCCCTCCTCTACTCCCTCTCATTTTCTTATCTTTCTTAAAGGAGCTGACCACCCTATTTCTATATGCAATTGTCAGGTAGTCTTAGGAGTCTTTAACGTTGGAGATAAATCTGATAAACCCATAAGGTATATCTAGTGTTACACAAGCCTGGAAATAAGGCAACTGTCACTGACAATGTCAAGCACAGATTCAGGCTTTGTCAGGCACTAAACCTCTGGTGCCTGTCATTTTGTCTGGCACTGATTTGTCTTTTTTATTGATATTATTAATACATGTCCGGCACTAAGTTGAAAATGTCTGGTACTATTTCATTAATGCCTGACATTTTGTCAGGTACATGTAAAACCGTTATTTCCAGTCATGCTAGTGTCCCTGTTATGTACACGTAGGGGATCAAAACCACAAAACTTGACCTAATGACACCCCTTTTGATCTAAAATGCGCACTTACATGACTTTACCCACACTTACATAATAATAGATGTTTTCCACACAATATCAATCATATGCACCTTAGATCATTGAGTCAACTGGCGTGGTTTTGATTCCCAGCTTGTACGTGACAAGGAGAAAGATCGCCTGTCCAACCTCGTCTGTTTTCTTTGGGTCCTTCGGTATCCTCCCGCTGCTAAAGACCTCTACGAGCAAGTGATTATTTATTGATCCATAGTTAGTAACGAAATGACCTAGTATGCGCTGAGTGGACGTTAACCCCCCCCCCCCATCTCTCTCCCTCTCTTACAATATCAATTATATGATCTTTGAGAGGCATAAGTATGTGTTATAGTTTATTGATCAATTATATGATTGTTATGATATTTATTTCAGGTCAGAAATCTGGTTAACTATTGGTGAATTAAGTAGACGATTATCAAAGATTGATACAGTCACAGTTTTAACACAAGATATAGTTGATATACTTACAGATCATTTCAGAGATGTCCGTCTCGCATCTAAAAGGTACAGTAATTACAATTAGTTCAAATCAGAGATGTCCGTCTCGCATCTAAAAGGTACAGTAATTACAATTAGTTCAAATCAGAGATGTCCGTCTCGCATCTAAAAGTTACAGTAATTACAATTAGTTCAAATCAGAGATGTCTGTCTCGCATCTAAAAGGTACAGTAATTACAATTAGTTCAAATCAGAGATGTCCGTCTCGCATCTAAAAGTTACAGTAATTACAATTAGTTCAAATCAGAGATGTCCGTCTTGCATCTAAAAGGTACAGTAACTACTAAAGGTAAATTTAGGACTAATCTATGGTTCAGTTTTACTTTTGATAGTTCAGATGCTCGTGTAGGAAGGAAACCAGAGGGCCATAGAAAACCCACCAGATTGGTACGGGCGACCCTACTCCATGTCACGTACAAGCGAGGAATTGAAAGCACACCACTTAACTCAATGACAGACCTTGTGATCCAATGTGCACGCATTAACCATAAGGCCACCCAACCCTAGTTTATGTCAAGTTATGTCAAGTTCTCTCCATCCCATTCAAAATTCTAATCTCATCTGTCGTCATATTTTCAGACCCAATATGAAACCTGGTGAAGAGGTACCAAAATTTCTTCTTCATCCGTGGCTGGTAGATGAGAAATCTGAACTGGATTTTTTACGTAAGGTTTGTGAAACGTTACTGGTGACTCTATTACCTCATCACTACGCAAAAAATAAACAGATACGCCATCTATTGAGAGAAATTATTACATCATCAAGTAAGTTGGCTTGTTATTGTTTGTTTATATTTCTGTTCATTCCATTCTCAGAAAAATATTTTCTAAAATCTGCAACTATTAAAGATACATTAGTTAAGAGTTTAATAAAGAGTTGGTCATTGTTGCTATAATATTTCAAAAATAGATGATAAAACAAGAAAATATTGAAAATTTAATTCAAATTACTTCATTCTCAACCAAGTTATCATTGTTTGTAGTTTTGACAAGATGTGTGCACTATGGTAACCAGGGCACTGGAATAATCGGGACTTGGCCCCTCTTTCCCATTTTTACATTAAATTTTTAATGGCGAACCGTTTCAATTTAGTTAAAATCTCGAGTATCCGATGGCATCGAGAGTCAATTATGGTCATGTTTGTTAATAAATGTCTAAGTGATAGTTTATATAACATTTCAGGCCTAAAGAAAGACCTGCAATAGGCAGATTTAGCTCTTGCATAATGTATGTTTAACTTGAATATCTAAAAACGTGCCTTTTCATATGCTGGACCTTTCTACTCAAAACATTCTTGTTTCAAAACCCTGATCTGTAAATAATTAGTGAATATAACAACCAAGAACGCCTTAGAAACTGTTCTTTAGTATTAAGAGGATAGTAAAAAATATTTTGTCAAAAATTGGCTGTTATATAAGATTTGATGGAATTAAATAACAGCTGATTCTTTTTTAAATCTCCAGCTCTAAAACCTGTGATAGATCTACTTTGTGATCCAGACTACATTAACCAAAAATTATTAGATTACTTAAAATATCGGCAGAAATTATCTGAAGATACACGTCGAACATATACCTATGCACCCACGTATGAAGATTTCGTTAAAATGATCGCAGCAGGAGATGATATTGAACATCTCAAACAAATTAGGTCAGTAAACCTTTTATATCTACTGGTAAAAAATCATGAATAAAACAATATAATGCCCACATAAACAATCAGCATATTCTAACACATTTGATTTCACTTACATCGTTTTCTTGTCAGATGACTATCTTTGAAGAACATTCAAGACGTTTAAATTATATCGTTGGAATGCTGTACTGTGTTTTCACGCACCCATAATTTATAAACAGGCTGCAAAATGAAACAAAACTTACTTATTATTTTGCAGAACAGAACAGGTGTTCGTTGAAGTCAATCTGACATATGTCTATTACAGGAATAATGTCTTACAGGTGTATATTACAGGTTTAATATCATATCTATTACAGGTATAATATCATGTCTATTACAGGTATAGGTATAATATCATATCTATTACAGGTATAATATCATGTCTATTACAGGTTTATATTACAGGTATAATATCATGTCTATTACAGGTGTATATTATAGGTATAATATCATATCTAATACAGGTACAATATCATGTCTATTACAGGTACAATATCATGTCTATTACAGGTATAATATCATGTCTATTACATGAATAATATCATGTCTATTACAGGTACAATATCATGTCAGAAATAATGCAATCAACGACTATAAATAATATAAAAAAAGCTAAGGGATTGAAAATAGGTATGTCATTGTTTACATATTTCTTCCCTATTTTATCAATAATATAATGAGCTGTTGCTTATTCTTCATATTTTATTCAATATCTAGTACTCAAATAATTTCAACCAGGCTGACCTTAAAAATATCTTTGTTTCACCAAACCCGACCCACAATCGAGGAGAAGGGTCGGTAGGTCGGTTTTTTTTTCAGATTTTTTTTTTAAAGTTAGAGAAATCAATACAGAAAACTTATTAGCTGTATACTACAGATTCATTAATTTTGTTTAATGAATTTGGGGTCTGACGTAAAAAGTAACGAACTGAAAGTTTTTTTTATTAAACTTAAGAGCTAATTTGACAGCTTAATAATTTTCCGGGTGGAAACATTCGTCTTCTTTATTCAATTGGCAAAAAAATAAATGAGTGAATGACATCGGGAATTTTTCGTGATGCCCGACTCGCAAACGATTTGCCACGAACTTGAAGTGTGAAACTCCTTCAACACGTTTTTAACGATACTGCGGGTTGTGCCTTCATTTTTCTCGAAAACGGATATTGAAAATATCGTCGTCATGTTTAAAACTACGCACCACAGACATAGAAGCAGAATCATTTCGTGGGAATGGACGTGTATTCGTCTGCAACCATTTTGTTGAGAAGCGACACCTATGACGCTTTCGTCTTGATCAACCAGTTTCAATAATGAATCAAACCATAGCCATAGTAAAGGGAAATAACTCTCGTGATATATTTCAGGTTGACACACAAAATAAAATAAAAAGATCGTGGAAAAGTGCAATAAAATAATTTAAGTCGGGGGTGATTTTAGTTAGTCGGTCGCGTTAGGCGAAATAAAGATATTTTTAAGGTCAGCCCCAGGCTTAACCAATAGTATTAATCATTTCATTTATAAACAGCTACTGACAGTTACCCTGATGTTATTAGGGTAAATGGAAATCTACTGTAACCAAACAGTCTTGATTATAAATAACAACTCAGTTACCTGATGCTAGGTGGGGAACTTTTATCTACTACAAATAAACAGTTTAGTTTATAAACAACTACTGACAGTTACCCTGATGTTGTATGGGTAACTGTCATCTACTGTAAACAAACAGTTTAGTTTATAAACAACTACCTACAGTTACCCTGATGGTGTGAAGGTAACTGTCATCTACTGTAAGCAGTCTAGTTTATAAAATGATTGGTACCAAGAGTGCTGCATTGTGGAAATTATTTTGTCTAGATAATGAATAAGATATAGAGAATCTGTAATGGCTGTACTTATTAATACGTTGTTTGAATGGATATGATTTACTAATTAGTGTTACATACATAATAATCAATAACTGTTAGATTGTATATCAGTATTTCTTTTCTGTTATCAGAGAGAGAAAGTGCACCTAAGGGTCTGTCGAAAGGTGAATTATTAAAAGCTCGAAATTTAAAGAGATATATTAACCAGGTAATATTAAAAGCTATTAAAACCGGTTGATATTTTTGTTTTATTATAATAATCGCCATATCACATATGTTCATTAGGTGAATGTCTTGACTTAATTTGATGATTAACATTTCCCACTAAGCCAAAGGCTAAGCAGAGATAAGCAGTTTGATTTGTTCAGTGCTTTGGGATATGATAACTCTGATTCTAATTGATTAGCATTTTCTGTCTATTTTATTTTTATAAGCCATATTTTTATTCAGATTTGTATCTGAATAGGGATTGGGGAACAAGCATAGCCTATATTAAACCCCTAGTCCGGATCACAAAGTAGATCTGTTTGGACCAAGTATGGATAATCAGTTTGATTGCTTGATGCTTTACAAAATGATAAATGTGCAATTCATTTTGTGGCATCTATTTAGTTTGGGATTGAGACTGGGGACCTCAGCCTCATTGTTGTCTTGTTTAATTTTAAACTTGATGCTGCTCTGATTGTAGCCTCGGTCACCCAGAACCTCGTAGTCTTCAATGTAAGGAGAGTCTGGGTCTGTTGTCAACATTGAACAAAAACAAAAAGTTCCATTGCCCATGTGTAACCGAGAGGTTTTTTTATATGTGGTTGATTATCCAGTAAATTTTGCCAAGTCAAGTAATTGCGCCTCTTCCCAAAATAAAATCCCATTATTCATGCATTATTATAAACAAACATGAATTGTGACAACGAATTAGGATTCATTAAAATTCATACTATAAAAAAATCAAGAATTTGGGATATTGAACAAACAATGCAAATAGTTTTTCTGAAATGGCATTCCTTATATTAATTTATAGGCGTCAACATCTTTGTTTTAGGACTAGTTACCTCCCTTAGACTTTGTTTGTTTTAATGTAAAGACCGGATAATCTAGTCAATGACCTATTATTCTCAATATTCGTAGAATATTTGTCTAAATGATAGACACTACTCTGATTGATATTAAACAATACAATGATTATTTGATAGTTTGTTGTATATTTATATAGTTTGTTTCTATATTTCTATATAGTTGACAGTAGCTAAACAACAGTGTGAGAAGAGAATCCAGTCTCTTGGTGGTCCAGATTATAAATCATATAATGATCCACGTGATGAATTACTTGACCAATCACTACCTGGACAAACGGTATAATTTATTTATTTAAATTCATACAAATAAAACTTCTCTTATTAAAGCCCTTTGTTGATCTTTCTAAAACACGACAACATTTGTTGTTAAAGGCCAATTCATTGATGTAAGATGCAAGCGCAAATTTGCCTGTTGCAGGTCTTTTTTGGGGGGCTTAAAATGTTATATGAATTATTATTTATACATTTATTAACATGACACGCTCATAATCAACTCTATGGGGCATTGGATGACTCTGATTTTAAGTAGATTAGAACACCGCCGTGATTTAAAAGTTTAATGATAAAATAGACAATCAAGACTTGGTCTCGATTGTCAAGTACATTTGCTACGACAATAAATAATCTACGCTACATTTTGTCAAAGCTTCAAACATTCATAACTTCGCTTAGAATAAAGTAATTTCACTGAAATTTTTAAATATATTCATTTATCATTATCTATTTTTGAACTTTTATAGCAAGAACGACCAGTTCGTTATCTAATTCCTACATAATGCATCTTTAATTTTAGATTTTAATATTTTCTATTATTTATAGGTTCTCTCGTTTAATGTTATAATGGATATAACCAAGGCTAGAGAATGTTTTATGAAATATTTGAAGAAAGATGGATGTGAATCGTTACTAGGGTAAGTTTCAACAAATTTTTATTACCTTAAGCTTGAATCCAGATTTGACTGACATGCTCTCTTGTTGACTTCTAAATGACCACCATTTTAAATCGAAACGAATCCAGACCATTATGTGAGTGTCCATATACCTACATTTGTATCTTAAACTCTTTAGGAAACAAACTAAATAGATTTTGAAACTCTACAAGGTCTGCGGTTATGGTCATGGCATATACTTTTGTATACATATTCTGTTTACTGTCGACATAGATGTTAGTAACAATAAAAACACTAAATGAGATTTTAAAGATATTAATGCTCTTTATGAAAGAACCAATTTTAATGCGACCAAGAAATCTCTGGGTTAAATAAAATAAAATATGAATATATATATATATATTTTTTCAAATCAGGTTTTGGAATGCTGTTGAAGATCTGAGAAGTTCCAACAAGGTACAATTAAAATAAATTCAGATTACCTTATTACAGGGACAGCTGTCTAGTCGTTCGGATGGGATGAAAAAAAATGAGGTCCTGTGTGCACATTGACATGCACGTAAAAGATCCCTTGACAGTTGAAATTTGATATAAGAGTAGGCCATAGTGCCGCTGCCCTGGCAAAATTTCCCTCGTAGCACACTGTTTGGCCTATGCCCGTCTTCATTAGCCCAGTTCGGAGCAGAACAGTAGGACGTTAAACCCCATTTCATTTCATTTCTTTTAAAGGTCCAGGTATACACCGTCTCATACAATGTACCATGTCACTATTATTTATTTTTGAGTTGGGCCATTTTAACCTAATTAATTGTTTTTTTTAGCAACAACGTCACCAGCTAGCCAGTGAACTTTACCAACAATATATTGCTTCAACATCAACAGCTGTGAAATTAGATAAAACTATTATTAAAAATATGGAACTTTTTCTACGCGGGGATAAGGTACAGAATATACAATCTTATTATTAAACAATTAATTTCAGCTCAACGTTGACGACTACGAGAAAGGGTCAAATATATAAAAACTCTTAAATATGTCAGCAATTGTCACACAGTCTCTGGAGGTCTCGAGTACGCTCCTGGTGTTAGCTGAGAAACTTCGTCTGGATTCCCCATGTCAGTGATGCAGGAAGAGGACCTGACAAGGACAACTATTTAGTCATTTGGATGGGAAAAAAACAAAATCCCATGTTCAGATTAGTGTGCACATAAAAGACCCCTTGATAGTTGGAATTTTGTGCCACTGTTTGTGCAAAATTTCTCTAATAACAAACTGCATGGCATATGACCGTCTTCATTAGCCCAGTCAGTGCTGAAAAGTAGGACGTTAAACTCCATGTTTTGTCTTTCATTATCTTGTCAGTGGTGCAGGATGGAGAGCTTGACAAGGATGGCTGTCTAGTCATTTAGATGGGACAAAAAAAACAACATTCCGTGTTCACATTGGCAGTATGTAAAAGAACCGATGACAGTTGGAATTCGATGTAAGAGTAGTCTGTAGTGCAGCTATCCGGGCAAAGTTTCCCTCATAGCACACTGTATGGTGTATGCCTTTCTTCATTATCCCAGTCAGTGCAGAACAGTAGGATGTTAAACCACATTTCATTTTATTTCATTACCACTTGTCTTTTAAGTATATTTTAGAATAATAGTACAGTTGAACCATCTTTTTATATTATCTGTTTTTCTGTACAGGGACCTGAAGCGTTCTATGATGGTCAGAAACAGATAAATACACTATTAGAGGAGAAATATTATCCTTCATTTATAGTCAGTGACAAGTATCATCAATATATATCATACCTACAAGATAGAGATATTATAATAGACGAATCGTCTAAAGGTAGGTACTTCCAGTGATGGGATTTCGCCATATATTCTGGACATGTCCAACGCTATTTTTCAAAAATCCTAAATTGTCCAACCAGGAATATACCCAATCGGACATCAAGACATGGTGAATAATATTCAAAATTCCAAAATTAATATAGTGTACTGAGTGTATGTCTACCACTCCTGATTATCGTTGATAAAAGGCTGGATTGATTGAATAATTAAGAGATCAATGTATTTACCGCTTATACACCTACCTTGATTAATTACTTAATCTGCCTTGATTGACTGACTTAAGCCAATTCATCAATCCAATCCTGAGCAGAAGTCAGTGATTATAAACTTAATCTATGTGATTAACTTGGGGCTTTCTCAATTGTCGGACATTTTAATCTCCATGATGTCAGTCGAGAACATGTAGAAACTAGTAATATATGTCACATACCCTATTATTTCCGTTAACTTGTCACACACACACATGGTTATAATTCAATAACCAAAAACAAAAGTAGAATTCTCACGAGAGGATTGTAATTACGAGAGATGTAAACGTGACAATCATCACATCGAAAATGTCGGAGAAAAGATTCTATTTTGATACATATTCTCAGGTTTATGACAATATTTTGAATAGAGTTTATGTTTTTTGAAAGAAGAAATAAGCTGAGAAATGTCGACAAATGTATTTCGATTGGAATAGTGTACATGTAAGTAGTTAATTGCTTTACACGATAGCACATGTGATCAGAGTCACTCGCCAGTACCATGGCCCGAAAAAGTACTAAAAAATACTGAAAAATACACGAAAAAGGACTGAAAATACAGAACAGAAAAGGTTGATACTAATTACCAAACAAATCTGAAAAACCCTATATATTGGAACTTAGATCCATATTGATTAAATGAAATGAATTAAAAATAAATATGTTTTTATACGCCCACATTGAAATGTGGTCGTATATTGTCATCGCCCCCGTCTGTCCGTCCGTCCGTTAATATCCGATTGACTTTAAATTTATATGCAGTGTTCAAGTCCATGAAACGAAGAAGCCTATTGATTTTCATCGATTTCTGATAATTACTGCCAGAGTTATGGCCCTTGATCACTTAAAAAAACCTTGTGGACGCTCTAGAGGCTAAAGTTAATATCCGATTGACTTTAAATTTTTACAGTGTTTAAGGTCATGAGACGAAGAAGCCTATTAATTTTCAGCGATTTCCGATAATTACTGCCAAAGTTATGGCCCTTGATCACTTCAAAAAATCTTGTGGACGCTCTAAAGGCCAAAGTTAATATCCGATTGACGTTAAATTTATACACAGTGTTTAAGGTCATGAGACGAAGAAGCCTATTGATTTTCAGTGATTTCAGATAATTACTGCCAGAGTTATGGCCCTTGATCACTTTGAAAAATCTTGCGGACACTCTAGAGGCTAAAGTTAATATCCGATTGACTTTAAATTTATACACAGTGTTTAAGGTCATGAGACAAAGAAGTCTATTCATTTTCAGCGATTTTCGATAATTACTGCCAGAGTTATGGCTCTTGATCACTTCAAAAAATCTTTTGGACGCTAAAAAGGCCAAAGTTAATATCCAATTGACTTTAAATTGATACACAGTGTTTAAGGTCATGAGACGAAGAAGCCTATAGATTTTCAGCGATTTCCTATAATTACTGCCAGAGTTGACTTCAGATTGATACACAGAGTTTAAGAGCTTGAGACGAACAAGTATATTGATTTTCAATGAATTTTTATGACTTGAACAGCTAAATCCATGATATTAAAAGTTTTGTATACTAAACGTTAGCATGGGGCAGAACTTTATAAAATCCAAACAAATTCTAATCGTTTTCTGATAATTACTTCATGAGTTGTTACTCTTAATCAGATTTTAGTGTATTATAAATGTTTCAATACCGAAAGAAGTAAAAATATGCGACAATACTTGTTGACTGCCCGGACGATTTAGCTGCTGTGGGCGTATGTTTCGTTGCCTGGCAACCTATCTTTATGATATATTTATAGATAACAATGATATATTTGATGATGATGATATTGATGAGACTTCAACTAATTTTATTGATCAATCGTATCATGCTAAACAAACTCTGGATTTACTCGATGAAAAGATTGTCAATAAATCACAGGCTTTACAAGCTTTCAAAACATCGCAAAAACCAGATGAAAAGGTAATGAATTTCTCTCTTGTCTCAGATCTAGATTGTCTAAAGTCAGATTGTCTATTTTCATGATGCCAGACCTATATTGTCTACAGTCAGATTGTCTATTTTCATGACATCAGTCCTAGATTGTCTACAGTCAGATTGTCATGACATCAGACCTAGATTGTCTACAGACAGTCAAATTCTCTCTTGTTATGTTATCAGATCTAGATTGTCTACAATCAAATTCTCTCTTGTCATAATATCAGACTTAGATTGTCTACAGTCAGATTGTCTCTTGTCATGATACTGGTATAATACCAATGGCTAATTTGATCAAATAGAATATACCATGTTCGTTTCTTAAATAATGTGCTTTTGTTAAGTGGATGTTAAACTCACTCTTATTTTACTTTCTTACTACCTCAGTGAAAAATTCATTTATTCGTCTGAAACATTATTTTATACGTAGTAGAGAATATTGTATGTTTGAATTTTCTTTGGTTAATAGATGAAAAAGGTTGAAAAGGACATGGAAACAGACTTAACACAACTAAAGTTAGAAAGACGTCAGTTAGAATCACATATAGCTAGAACCGAGAAATGGGTAGAATATCAGGGTCATTGGAAGGCAAATGTACAGAGTGCCCAGGTTGAGGTACGTGACTTATGAGAAGTTATAATTGTGGTTAATATGAGCATATTGTATAGCTTCTGGTTGTCTCGGGGACTATAACATGATAATGTGTAGAAGCTATCGATCCAGACAGTCTGGAGCAACAGGAATTATAATTTAATACATCAACACCTGTAATTATACATACATTATGCAAGATGTCATCGCTAGCCTGCGATGTTTATTGGATTAGGTTCCGATTTGCTGTTCGACTTCCATTCATGATTTAATCATGAAATGAATAATCGAGACTATGTTTTTTATCCTACCGACTTTAGTAATGATGATCAAGGCTAGGCCAAAAATTCAATCGCTAAAATCTCGGTTCAGAGTGGATCAATTTGACTGAAATTTTCAGCAAATTCCCTTTACATTATCTAGTTTGTAACTATTATAACTGCCAGCTCTTACCTTATCTCCCATAATGTATCTTTAATTACTATCAGTTTACCTGACAACTTCCCCTGTGACGTTAGTGTTCTATATTTATGTATCACACTTTTGTTGTTGAATAATTGACATTAAATCTGTTAAAATGAGAACATTTGACTTGATGTATAATTTATACAAGAAATGTGTTATGACAGTTAATTTGTGCATCAAGTATAAAAAATCATCATCATATATGTATCAAGTTAACCCTTTAGACCCTGGTACATTTGAATATTGACTATCCAGTTCCCTGAAGAAAATTAAGAGAAGAGTGTTTTGGTTCATATCGGTACATCCCTGAACAGACCGAATTATCGGATCATTTACTAGTTAGTGGAAGCAACACCATGTGGCGGGTTGGGGAACCCTATCTAGGGCGTTTTCAGGTGATCTAAGAGCTAAAGGGTTAAATTATTTTCTTTGTAGTTAAAATGGTCTATATTTTACATGTCTTTAATTATTGTTCTTGTCCAGGTTGAAAATCAGGGAGATCGTTCTACACCATATTTCGTTCTTGTTGTTCATCTGTCTGGTCATGATCAAGGTGAAGGTCATGGGTTAAGAGACAGTGTACAAGGTTGGGTCGTATCGAGAACTTTAGAAGAGTTTCAGACTTTACATCAAAAACTTGTACAGGTAGGTAATCTGGTTGCCATGGATTTAGAAAATTCATACAGGTAGGTAATCTGGTTACCATGGATTATAAAACTTGTACTGGTAGGTAATCTAGTTGCCATGGATTATAAAAATTATACTGGTAGGTAATCTGGTTGCCATGGAACATATGACCTGTTTTCAAAGATGTAGTATGTAAGATTTAGATACAGACCTGACCGTTCTGGCTTTGATAGCTAAAATAATTCATTCAAATTTCTTTATTCTGAACAAATTTATGAGTGTTAGAAGATATAACATTGATTGTTTATTATCGTAGCCACGGTACTGGATAATCGTAACTAAGTCTTAATTATATATACATTTTAAAATTTTGTGGGCGTTATACTTCATCTCGGCCATCCGATGGTAGAGAGATGATTATGGGCTTGTCATGTGAAGAAATGTCTAAATAATAGTTTATATAACATTTGAAGCCAAAATAAAGACTTGCAATTTGCAGATTTATCTCTTTTAGCTCTTTTATGTCTGTTTAAATAGTTATTCATCTTTTGGACAGGTCTGTTGAGAATTTTGATGAAGCAATTAAGAATTCATATTACCTTGCCTGATGTGACTCTACTCTACTCATACCATAGGTTACATTGCCTGACTCAACTCTGACATGACTCAACTCACTTCACATTTTACCCTGACTGACTCAATTCACACTACCCATGTTATCCTGACTGAGACTCAACTCTAACATGACTCAATTCACACCACCCATGTTATCCTAACTGACTCAACTCTAACATGATTCAATTCACACCACCCATGTTATCCTGACTCAACTCTAACATGACTTGACTCAAACCACACATATTACCCTGTCTGATTAAACTTGGTGTCACTACTCAACAATTTATATGTAAATGTTTGTTGTTGTTTTATAGATAGGACCTTGGTTAAGAAAGAAAGAAATACCTACTACTAGTATGAATCCATTCCGATCATCAGTAGACACAGCTTTCCTTGATAAAGCTAAAACACAGTTAGATGAATATTTAGTGGTAAGGTTTTATATATTCTAGGATTAACTAGTTTCTTACACAGCCTCATAGAAGATTTTAAACTAAACAATCTCAGATATAGACCTAGTGAACTGATTTTAAAGGAACTGACACACATATGAAGGAACTATTCCAAATATAAAACTAATGAACTCATTTTAATTGAACTGCCCCAGAAATAAAACGAATGAACTGATGTTAAAGGAACAATCTGAGATTTGAAACTAATGATCAGGGCCCTTATTCACGAAAACTTAAACTAAGATAAAATCGAAATTTTAAGAAATACTGCAATTCGATTGGCTGACCAGTAAAATCAATTTGCATATATCCAATGAAGTTTCAGTATTTCTTAAAATTTCGATTTTATCTTAGTTTAAGTTTTCGTGAATAAGGCCCCTGATTTTAAAGAGGAACCTTTAACGAGAAAAAAAATTGAAACTGATTTTATATAAAATATTAACAATAACCCAATTTGGAGCAAACTGAACTCCTTGAAAACCAATTCTGGCTGTAATTCATAGTATGTACAATGTTGACAATATATTACAGGCTGTAATGAAAGATGAAAGAATGAACCAGAGTGAAGCCCTTTATTCATTTTTAACACCCACACCTGAATATCTTCAACAACCTGTTATAGAGAAAAAAAATAAATTCTCTGGTTTTGTTAATTTGATGAAAAGGTAAGATAAAGGTAGATAGAACCAGTCCTGGCAACTGAGTTAAGTTTACCAGCCACTGTTAGTTTTACCAGTCAGTCATCAGTGTGTGTAAATATTCTGTCAACTGAGCTAGTTTTACCAGTCCGTTAGAGTGTGTAAATATTCTATCAACTGAGCTAGTTTTACCATTCCGTTAGAGTGTGTAAATATTCTTTCAACCCATGAGTTAGTTTTAAAGGAGAACATCAGCTGTTAATATTTCATTCGTGAACCTTTATTAAAATAATTTTAATATGGCACAACCTCCGGTTTTAATCTAAATATCAAACTGTTTAACCTGTAATTAACAAATTAACATGATGATTGTGATGTCATACAGGTAAATGTATACAGGTACTCTGCAGCTGTTCTATGAGCTACAGAGATCAGAATAATCAACTGAAGTTTTATTTCTATTTCACATTGATTGGAATCTAGTATAGCATGTAAAGTTTTATTCATATTTCACTTGGTTGTTGCACTTGAAGTAAATTACACGATTTTAAACCTGAACACTAGAGTATGGATAATATAGTATGGAAGTGTTATATTAAGTATTATATGGTACACATTAAATAACAACTTTTTCTATATTTATTTTTCTTGTTCTGTGAACATATTTTTTCTGCATCTGGTGTTGGTGGGGCTCTAGAACTGTTCTTTTCTTATATTATATTCAATAATGGTGGCAGGGCTTATTACTATAGTATTTATATATGTCAACATGGAAATGTGGTCGTATATTGCCGTCGCACCCATCCGGTTGTCGTCCACAATTTCTTGTGAACACTCTACAAACTACATTTATTGTTTTGAAATTGATATATGTTTTTTACATGAGTTATATGACGTAGCATATCTAATGTCAATAATTTCCGTTAATTTCTTCTGGAGTGTACGGCCTTTGTTTCACTTTGTTCTACTTTGTGAACGCTCTACAGATAAAAGTTATCTTCTGATCTATATGAAATCTATATGTATCATTTAGATTAGTGAAATGAAGAATCCTATTGAATTTCAGAAATTTCCGTTTATTATGTCTAGAGTTATAGCCCTTGTTTCACTTTGTTGAAACCTGTGAATGCTCTAACGACACAAGTTATTTACCAATCTGTATGAAATTTATATGCATCATTTAGATTAGCAAAACGAAGAATGCTATATAATTTCAGCATATTCCGTTAATTACTGCTAGAGTTATAGCCCTTGTTTCACTTTGTTGAACCTTGGGAATGCTTAAATGTTATCATCCCATCTGTATGAAATTTATATGCATCTTTTAAATTAGTGAAACGAAAAAGCAAGTTGTATTTCATCAATTTCCGTTCATTAACATAGCGTTATGACCCTTGTTTCACTATGTTGAACCTTGTAAACGCTCGAACAACAAAAGTTGTCATCAATTTCAGCAATTTTCATTAAAATACTTTCATAGATAAGACCCTTGTTTCAGTTTATAGAATCTTGTGAACCCTCAAACAACAAAAATTATAATCTAATCTGAATGAAATTGTCTTGCCCCCAATTACATGTACCTACCAAAGAATAAATATGCGACAACCCTTGTTGACAGCTTGGACGATTTAGCTGCTGTTGGCATATGATTCTTCTAATAATTAAATAAAATAAATCCCCAACATTTGATAAATTCACTGGCAAACATTTCATGGACTTTAAAGATACCTTGATTTAACTATTGGCCAACCTCTCAATGTGACCTCTTGTCTATATTAATTTAGCATTAATAATAATCTTAACATAAATATCTTGTACTCAGTAGTTTTAGCATCCCTATGATAGTGACAATCATTTTAGTGTTAATAAGATTTTGACAATAATTTTAATGTTAATATGATGTTCAAAATAATTTTAGCGTTAATTTGATGTTGAAAATAATTTTAGCATTGATATAATGTTGAAAATAATTTTAGCGTTAATATGATATTGACAATAATTTTGGCGTTAAAATGATGTTGACAATAATAATATAATGTTTTAGATTGATGTTGTAGTGTTTATATTGTTGCTAGGGTGATATTTATGTTTATTGTATTGTTGCTATGTTTATTTATTTCTGCCATCTGTAGCCTCCCTAAACGATCAGAGTCTAAATCATCAAGTACCAGTGATGACGATTTTCTCTTTCTTGGTGATGACAGGTATTTCTCCTAGATTTCATTTCTCCATCTTGACCTTCCACTATTTACCTACCCTTGATAGGGATTGAGCTATAAGTGTCTTAGTACTGGATGATTGAGACTGAATACCACATCAACAGTTTAATAACAGTCTAATTGAACATATATCGAGACACATTCCCATGAAAGTATTTATAAGGTAGTTATTTCCAATATGGGGGTTGGGTGGCCGAATGGTTAACGCATGCGCGTTGCATCATAAGGTCTGTCATTGAGTCGAGCGGCATGGTTTCAATTCCCCACTTGAACGTGACAAGGAGTAGGGTCGCCTGACCAACCTTGTGGATTTTCTCTGGGTCCTCTGGTTTCCTCCCACTGCTGAAGACCCCTATGCGCAAACAAATTAATGAACCATATGTTAGTCCCAAAATGTCCTAGTTTGTGTCAAGTGGATGTTAAACCCCATTGCTCTCTCTATTTCCAATACAAGCATGGAATTTTTGGTATATATTGAAAGTAGAGACACTCAATCTTACTAGAAAAATACTGGATTGCCTGAAAAACCCACATGGGGTGTGCACAGGAAAAAAATGTAAGGGTGTCCTTAAGTAGCAGCATTTCTCCTCGAGTGACGTAAGGAGCGCTTCTCAAGTGTTGATTTAATGGCCAACTGGAAAAGTTCACTAGACTCTGCAGTCTTCGATATTTATGTTAAATAGACAACAACTAACGATAAATACAAGCTAATAATGGATTCTCCCTCAATCAAGTCACATGACAGACAAGGCTTCTTAAAGTTACAATTTCATATTTTTAAGTTATATTTTTAAAATGTATTAAAATAAAGCCCTAAAATAGATGGTAACTATAAACAGTCCTACCTTGTTAAAGAATAATCCTATTAATCCTATAATTCACTATTGCCAGTTGAAAAAATCGGCAAAAATATCATTTTCAACTTCAAATTCAAACGTTTGAAGATAGCTATTCCATGGTGGGGAATAGGAAAACAAGGGAGGTAATTGTGTTATTATTTCCAATGTGACGATTTTTAAGTGTGAGAAAGATAACCTATGATCGTATAATAGTGAGTTGACAACCTATTGAGCAAAAGACATGGAAATAATTATGTTTTGACTTTCTTAGAAAATATGAAATTGTAACTTTAAAGTAGATGGGTACTTTTCTTGCAATTAAAATGTTTTGAGAGTGATATGAAGCAATAATTAATGTAAAACATTCACATACCCAGGTCATTTGAGAAAAATATGTAGATGAATGTTGACAGTGGTAAGGGTTAGATCTTTACTTAGTTTGACCCTGATCCAATTATACGACAATTATAGTCCAATCCTTATCAATGACATCCTCTGTATTCCCAGTGGTCTCATTCCGTTCTACTCCGCTATACCCTGGGTTCATTCATGGGGTATTCACGTATTCAAATTATCAGCCCTTGATCGTAGCTTGATTCTACGAACCAATCAAAACACAGTTTACAAACCAGTCTTGACTTCATTGCTTACGTTCACAACAATATGGTTGCTTGTTCGCTCGATTATGAGAAAGTTTGCAATTTAATATAGAAGAAGTGACATGCTCACAAAAAGATGTCCTAAAGATGTTTTTATGTCAGGTTTCTTTTTATGTATTTAACAATTTTTTTGATTGGTCAATAGAAATAGTACAGTCATCAAGGGCAGATAACTTGAATACATGTCTTCCCCCATGGATGAACCCAGGGGTTAGTGGAGTGGAATGGAATAAGGCCACTGGGGACACTAAGGTTATATAAATGATAGTCAGTCAAACAAGGAGAAGGCCAAGATGATATTCCCAGGCAGCCATTATTTAATTTGTTGTTTAATTTATTATTCAGTGGCAGCCATTACTTAATTTGTTGATTTATTTTAATGCTTTTACTAGAAATAGTTTTTTATGTTCAACAAACCATGTCATATAAAAAAAAGTGTGTGTGAAATAGGTCTATTTAAGATCTGCTCCCACTGAATGGGTGATACAGGAGCAAATTGCCACAAAGGTTTGAGTATTTGATTTGTCTGGTTCCTATTTCTTATGATACTTTATATTCCAGTCTGCCTTATTTTACTTTATTTATTTCTGCATTCCTACTTGTATTATAGAACATTTATTCCTAGAAAACAAGAAATCTGAGGTTGATTTAAATTTCTCTTTTGTGGCTACATCTATACCGATGTATGTTTTATAAATATCTTGCCTAAGACTGGCTGAAGCCAGTCAATCTTGGCATGTGAACACTCGGTGACTGCTAGCTGACAGAATGGTGTATCAAATGATCTCCATGGAAGTTCATATACCGTATGGCAGTTAGTATATCTTGTTATAAGATGTACATAATAAAGTTTTTATTCCAACTTTTATCTAAGGCTAGAAAAGAGAGATATAAATAAAACAGGGTTTCAATACACTTCAATTCACCACCAATGCTGTCAAACTGTTTAATTGCCTTTCTATCTTTCTGCTTTCCCTTTTTTACTCCCTAAGTTTTTTATTTTATATCTATATTTTTACCTTATATATTACTGATTCAATCTTCTCTTCATTTTGTTTAACTATTCTTTTTAATATACCATAATCTTTAAAGCTTTTCGCTATGTTTTGTTCAGCGAAATTTTTAATTTTTGGTTTATCTCAGTCCAGTTGTTAATAGATATAAAATAATGACTCAATAACTATTCTGTATGTTTGTTTATCCAGCAATAAAGATGACATCAGTCGGGATTCTATCGCCAAACCTCTCTACAGATTTATGAATGAAGTTTTTGAGTTACGTGGAATGTTTAAGTGGCTTCGTAAAAGTTTTATAACTTTTGTTGAAGTAACTTTTGGTCGCTCCATCAATAGGTATGTATCTATTCATGACTTGTTTATGTAAGGCCTATAAAATCTTCAGTTTCTTCAACAAACTTTCAGAATATTCTGATTCTCAGCTGAATAAAAGTTCATTAAGCAGAGAGAGAGAGAAATGAGATTTAAGGTAAACATGACACAATCTACATGTAAGTCATTTTGGGACTTATATATGGTTCAATGTTATTTCAGTAATTCACTTGCGCATTGGGGTCTTTAAGCAGGGGGTGGAAACCGTAGGACCCAGATAAATTCCACGAGGTTGGTCAGGCAACTCTACTCCTTGTCACATATAACCAGGGAATTGAAACCCCATCTATGGAGAGAGAGAGAAATTAGGATTAATGTCCACATGACACTAACTAGGTCATTTCGGGACTAACATAGGAATTTGTTTTTTTTTAATTCCAGGCAACTCCATGAAACAGTAGATTGGGTGTTTTCCGAGTCCATGATAATTTACTATATTCAGCTGTTCAAAGATTCCATGTGGACAGACGGTAAATTGGCAGACTCAGCACCACCTAGAACTGATGAAGAAAAAATGGCCACCAGAGTAGCAGCAAAAGAAAAGTTTTTGGCAAACGTCCCAGGTAAACTGGAAACAGAATTTCATTTTTAAAAATTTAAAGTTTCTTAGTCCTTTTAATTTTTCTTTAGAAAGATATATTCACTGAAACCTATTTAGATCATCTGTTGGACACAATCAAGAATTGAGCCTTACAAAGATTTCTTCAATAGATAAGGATTACACACATGTTGAGAAGAAACAGAAACACCAAACATCTATAGACCATCAGGAACTGAGCCTTACAAATCATTCTTACTGTATGGGGGTGGGGGGGGCAATGGTTAACAAGTTTGATCATAATGTCTGTCATTGAGTCAAGAGGTGGGGGGTTGGATGGCCGAATGGTTAGCACGTGCACGTTGTATCATAAAACCTGTCATTGAGTCAACTGGCGTGGTTTCGAATCCCCAGTTGTACGTGACAAGGAGTAGGGTCGCCTGTCCAACCTCGCGGGTTTTCTCCGGGTCCTCCAGTTTCCTCCCACTGCTAAAACCCCTACGCGCAAGCGAATTATTGAAATAAAATTAAACCATATGTTAGTCCAGAAATGACCTAGTTTGTGTGGAGTGGAGGTTAAACCCCATTTCTCTCTCTCTCTCTCTCTCTCTCTCTCTCTCTCTCTCTGAGTCAAGAGGTGTGGTACTGATAAGAAGTAGGGTCACCTGTTCAATCTCTTGGGTTTTCAAGTAAAATAGATGGCGTTATAGGTGGTTGAAAAATATGAAATAATTTTGAAGTTAATGTAATTTAATACAACAATTAGGACAGAAGACTTTCTCTAAAAATATTTTATTGAATGACATGTCTCTTGAATGACATAATTAGACATTATAGCTAGAATAAGGGCTATATAAGGACCATGTTTGACAGTGGGCAGAAACCTATCTCCAAAATGTATTGGTTACAATAGGGGCAATGACTGGACAGTAAGGACATGATTATAGACATTAGGTACAATAAGGGCAATGGCTAGACAAAGGTCATGGTTATAGACATTAGCTAAACTACAGACGATGCATTGTGGGACATGATTAGACATTAGCTACAATATGGACAATGACTAGACAAGAGGACATGTTCATAGACATTGGCTAAACTATGGGCAATAAGGACAATGACTCGGATGACTCCTGTAGCATACCATAATGAATTTTAAGGGTAGTAAATATAATGATTTGGTAGAGTGAACAGTAATTGCATTCCATAGATATGTCCACTTCTAGTTTTAAAGCAGATCTATAAAAAAATTTCCTACTGGGGGCTGAATGGTTAAGGCATGCATATTGGATCATAAGGTCTGTCATTGAGTCAAGTGACGTGGTTTTCATTGCCCGCTTGTACATGATAAGGAGAAGGGTTATCTGTTCAACCTCGTGGATTTTCTCTGGGTCTTCTGGTTTCCTTCCACTGCTAAAGACCCCTATGTGCAAGCTAATTATTGAAATAAAATTGAATCATATGTTTGTCCCGAAATGACCTAGTTTGTGTTGAGTTGAAGTAACATCTCTCTCTCTCTCTCTGTCTCTCTCTCTCTTTCTACTGTTTGTAAATACAGTTATATTATTTCCCTTGACAGATGCTCTGAAGAATTTAGTTGGTGAAGATAATGCTAAACATGGTACCATTAAAATGTTTGAAGTTATGCAAGATGTCAGACTCAACAAACAGATCTTCTATGTAAGATAGTTTCAATTCAATCCTTCCTTTAAATGTTTGAATCTGTAGCAATTGCTAGGTTTGATTGTGAATAGAGTATTAATATACAAACTATGGTTCTTAGGTAGAGCAGCCAATGGTGAAACGTTTGAATCTATGGCGGTGGCTAGCTAGGTTTGATTGTGAATTAAGTATTAATCTACAATTTATGTTTCATAGATAGGGCCACCAATGTTGAAATACAACTGGTCTTTTGTTCCACTGTTGACAGTTTAAGTCACTCATAGAATTCTAATTTCAAACTAAAATTAGTATACAAACCGATTTAATCTTAGTATTTAGAAACGGAAATTTCATTGTATAGACCATATTCCATCACTAATGGAATAACCCTCTCATCTCATCTCATCACCTTCCCATAAGAATTGTGTTGTTTTAATGTGTTTCTCAATACCACCTAAAAGATTAAAGATTAGCATCCGCTTTGAATGCTCAACAGTTTCATTAACTATGTCGACATCAGTCTCAAATTGTTCTGTATGTCAAAGTTTATTAAAAGTATTTTTGTATATTTCAGAGTTTATTACAAGTATTACAAGTATTTTTATGCTTCAGAGTTTATTACAATTTTTTGGTATATTTCAGAGTTTATTACAGGTATTTTTGTGGGAATTATGTCCTGAGCTAGAGAATATTAAATCTCCAGTAGACCCAGCACCACAGCTATAACATGACAAAGAATCACAGCCAAGGGGATGGTGAATGGTTTCCAAAGACATTCTGTACTGACCAACCATTTTACATTCCACAAACTGTTTTCATTAAATAAGTGCAATACCTGTTAATCTGACAGATTGTGATAATAATTCAATGCTCAGTCAGATTAATTTTGATTTTAAACCTACTTGTATATTGAGGAGATTTAATGGTCAGCTAGATGGATAGGTAAGCTGTATGAATAGTTTGGTTGAGATTTAGCTGTTTAATAAGCTGGCTGGTAATTTTGCCGTTTAATTAGTTGGTTGGGGATCTGGCTGTTTAATTAGATGGATGAAGATCGAGCTGTTTAATTAGCTGGATGGAGATCAGACTATTTAATTAGCTGGATGGAGATCTAGCTGTTGAATTAGCTGGATGCTGATTTAGCTGTTTAATGAGCCAGATGGCGATTTAGCTGTTTAGTTAGCAGCTTTTAACGCACTCCATGAAATTGTTTATTGCTGTATTAATTTGACTTCCTTCTACTTTCGGTTATAAATTCTGTGATCTCAAGTGATATAAATGCTAGCTCATTTTTTTTATATGTAAACGGTGTTATTTTATTTACAGAAAAGGCCTGTGTTGTCTCTCTATTTAGTTTTCTTGATTGGGACTGGTAGAATATGAATATAATTAATATTTTCATTGTGTTATTACTGTGGTAACTGAATCAAATGTTGAACTGTCAAACTTTCATTATTATCCAGATATTGAGGAGTTCCTAATTTCTTGTAACCAAAGAAAAACTAAAAGTATTACATGTAAAATAATTGTGTTATGAATAATATAATTCTGATTAGTTTATTGTATTATTATATTACTATGGTTACTTAATTAATATTATGTTATTAACGTAACCATTTTGTTATTAATTTATAAATATAATTAATATTTTCATTGTGTTATTACTGTGGTAACTGAATCAAATGTTGAACTGTCAAACTTTCATTATTATCCAGATATTGAGGAGTTCCTAATTTCTTGTAACCAAAGAAAAACTAAAAGTATTACATGTAAAATAATTGTGTTATGAATAATATAATTCTGATTAGTTTATTGTATTATTATATTACTATGGTTACTTAATTAATATTATGTTATTAACATAACCATTTTGTTATTAATTTATAAAAATCAACCATATGCAAACATGAAGTAACAAATTATATAATGGTCATATACACCTATTGCATCTTACAAAACTCCACATTTTTCAAATACAACATTTGAAACCTCTAATTCTTCAATTAGTTAACCTCCAAAATAACATTTGTTTAGAGTTAGTGAGGTTATCCAGTGATAAACTATGGGCATTATTCAAGTAGGTACTGGAGCTTAAACTGTTAGGATAACTAATGATGATTAATGGTCTGGATTAAACATCAAAAAAAGAAATCAAATGGAGTTTAATATCCTACTGTTCTGCTCCAACTGGGCTAATGAAAACAGGCATTTTGCTCAGACAGGGCACTACAGTCTACTCTTTTTTCAAATTCCAGCTGTCAAGGATTCTTTGGCGTGTACACCAATGTGTACATGGGGCCTCTGTTTTTTTATCCCATCCGATCAACTATGCATTGGTTTAGCTTCACATAAACCAATACTCATATAGTGTCCTAATAACAAAGACTGTAAGGAAAGGTTTTTATACCACAAGACAAATCACCATATAAAATAAAGGATATCAGCAAAATTAGCTTGAATCATTTTGAATATTTTTTTTAAAGTAAGGATGCACCATTGGCATTTTACACGAAAATATCAAATTTTTATGGCTTAATCCAGGCTAATATTTAACATTTAATTAATACCAACACTAGGTAATTTCCTGGCTTGGATTTAAAACGGGTCTATCATTAAATTTTTGTGGACAACAAAATGGCGACTGGCTTATTGTATAGTGAGCAGCATAAATCTATGAAATTTCAATTCCATATATCTTTGTAAATACTGAATGGAATTGAACCATTTTTGCACTTAAATGCCTATTAGAGATTTATCTTTCACAATATTGTAGTTTCCAAGTGATTCCTGTTGCACTAAAACGGTGCATCGGGACCGTAACATAAAGTTGAAAAAAGAGAACTATCATGTCTTGCTAAATTATTTGTCATTGAGTGTTTATGTTTATTTATTTATGTAGCTGCTGCCGACAGAGAGAGTAGACATTAATAAATATTTAAAACTCTTCATATAACACCAGTACAAAAACAGACTTAGGTAGAAATGAGAGGTGGTTTAATCATCTTCATAACGTTTCAGGTTAAAAGACCCTTCATCAAATGATTGAATTAGAATTAAAAACCGAATTATCCAGTGTTGTTAAATTGTTTCTGAATGCATGTTTATTTATTTATTAAGTTATGATGACGTTATATTTGATGTATAACATAGACTGTGTGTGTCTCAATGTTATTGAAATAAACATGTTTTATAAATAATAGCCTAACCTATAATTTAAATGGTATATTTCCTGTTGATTGGATGTTAATCATTTTTTAATTATTTTTGATTGGGATTGCCGAATGTAACAAAAGGAGAAATTGGAAGTTGGGAGTAAAATGAGCAATTATATATACTATTTGTCCCTAGAAAGGTGTTTGGAAGGTTTAGAGACTGGAATCAATTTAAAGTAGCTAAGTCTCTAACTCAATATCATCCAAAGTCTTCGACATTGAAAACACAAATTATTTGTCAGTTTAAATCAACATTGATGTTGTGATCTTACTGGGAAAAGATGGGCTTCTGATATCCAATATTTAAGACCAAATAAACATTTTACCATTCGTGTACCATATTCAGCGCCATTTGTAACAAGGGACTCGAAGAACGACGCCAGATATATTCATGTCAAACGGCGATGCCATGTTCTTATCTGGAGAGCATGCGCAATAAATACTATCGGTGTAGACTGGAATAACAAGATATTCGATGCTACTGTAAGAGAGGTTGCTGCTATTTGATTGAGATTTCTGGCGTATTTTGCCGACCATAACTGATTGGAAATTAGAGTAAAAGGAAATCAGTTTATATACATTCATATTAAATTATTATAATGCGTTATGACCCATTTGTGTCAATTTCTAGGTCCCAAATATTAGCGATTTAGCTCCTATAACTTTGAAGTTAAAGGGGTGATAAGTTGTGGTCTGTATCCGGAATATCGATTTAATAGAGTTATTCCCCTCCTATCTATTCGTAGCCTCGGTTGTCATTTAATGCCATTTCACCTTAAATATAGACTAGATAATCCAGACCAAATGTTCGAGCGCCCCCTAGATTACACCGGTTAGTGAAACACGTGACTAAGCTTACCTCTTTGCTCACGTCTCGTTTTGTGTACGGTTGATGGTTGCCTTGCTCCTGAACATCCTTGCAGCATTTGTTAAAAACATGTCTGACGAACGTACTTTTATTGCCGTCAAACCCGATGGCGTCCAGCGTGGACTTGTCGGTGACATTATCGCCAGGTTTGAGAAGAGGGGATATAAATTGGTGGCCCTGAAGATGGAACAGGTATAATTCCCTTGAAAAGCATGTTTTATTTTTATTTTAGGCTTGTTGACATAAACTACTTGAATGACATTACGTGACATGTCTAGTCTAGTGTACTGTCTTACACTTCTAGACAAGCTATCAATTCTGTAAATAAATAATCTTCCCTTTTTATATCTCTGCTGAGTCTGATTTTATACATCAAATATTAGCATTATATAATATGTAACAGGCATTGCCTGAGTAGAGCGAAGCTGATTATTGTCAAATATAAAACCTTCATAATTAATTTTCTCAAGTGATACAAAAAATGTTAAATAATTTAGTTTTTCAAAATTGATTTTTATTTAGATCTAAATTTTAACATTAATTTTGTTTTTAAAAAAAGTGTGAGAAATATTTTCAATGACGTAAAAAAATATGTGACGTCAGTGATTAGACGTGTCATAGAAATAGTTCTATGAGGCGCGTAATCTCGCTTGGGAGAGATTTGGTGTGTAGAATTATTTCATTCGGCAAACCTCGACAGATTCTACGCATCTAATCTCGGCTGTGTGACCATTTCTGTGGAGAGTGTATTATATCAACAAACGTCACGTTTGGCATTGGGTTTGGGGAATTACCAGGGAATTTTATCAAACCAGCAGCCTTGAGACAATATCTCTACTCATTTAGGTAATATACACTCTACAAAAGACGCAATTTGGGACTTTTTTGTAAAAGCGACACGTTTTCCTGTTTAAAGTAAACCGGCAGCCGCATCGCAAGTGTATGGGCGTAGGTACATATCACTTACTGTCATACAGCCGAGATTAGATGTAGGGTAACGGAATCTGTCTAGATTTGCCGAGTGGAATTATTTTTGTTAGTTACGTGATCTCGTTTGGTCGAGATTTGGTAAGTTGACATGCGCACTGCCTGTTTTGCCCAGTGTATCCGGTTCCGGTCTGAAATTTTTTTTAATCAACAGTCTGTGGGTGACATTTTCAATTACGCTCCTGTGTTACCGGAAAAGAGCTTTGCTCAAGCACCGCGCAAAAGCGCGGTGCTTTAGAGCTTCGCTCTATATTAATGATAAATAATAATAAAAAAAACACAATAGCCTACAGTTACAGTACAGTTACCTGAGCCAATTAATTAAAATAGGCTACAAAATGCCTCAGACCCCTCGCATTTGGGGATGAGTACAAGATCAAAAATTGCAGTTGCAGACCAAGATATTCTTGTTATTCACTCAAAATGCACCAAATCTAACCAATTTTGGAAAACTTTTAGGAGACACTGGACTGTTTTTTTATACGCCCACATTCCAGAATTATGGCCCCTGATTGTACCAAAAATCACGTTTTTAGCTTGTGGACCCTATAGAGGTCATAATTTTTATCCGATTTAAAAAAGCCATATTATTATATCACCGTTACACCCTAAGGATCGCTGAGTTCGAATTTCGTGTAAATCGGCCCAAAATTGACAGACAAAATGGCTGCAGTTCGTTCTCAAATAGCGTTAAAAATATGGTATATCAAGGTTGTGGACCGTATAGAGATCACAATTTTTATCCGATTTTGTTGAAACTTGAAATGTAAGTTTATAACACAAAGATCTTGGATCCTTTGATATTTGTGCATATCGAATTGTAATTTCCTGAATTATGGCCCTTGATTGTAGGAAAAATCACTTTCTTTTTAGCATGTTCTCTATCCATCTCTCGAAAATGTGGGCGTATCATGCCTGGCAGCCGCTGGTTAACTATTATATTGAGTACTGCCAACTCGTTATCTCCCATAATGTATCTTTAATCCTGTGCCCAGCATAAATATCTACATGTTGGCAATTCTAATTCTGACAATAATTAAAAAGAGTGCAGAAAATCAATGAATGGTTCAAGAGCCTTGTAAAATGCAATACTGTAATTAGGCTCATTAACATTCAATTTTCTTAGGGCTTCACAACATGAACATGTATAGATTATATCAGACTTGGCTATATATTATAGGCCAATATATTCTACTGACAATTCAGTACATCAGTGTTATTACAAATTGACTTCAGAGGTTTCCATTTTACTGTAAACATCTGTTGAAATTGTGGTCATCTTAGATATGGGCGATATTTTGGTTAAAACTGGTACCTGTTTGAAAATTCTAGTAACAAATATATTGTCATGTATCCTAAGCCTGACCCCAACAACCTGTTACCGTGACACCTACTTGTTCCAAAGAGAAATGGTACAAGTGATGTTTGGTTGTATTTTGGATACAACAAATCCAATGAACAGCAGATGACTATTCTGTTGATTTTGTTTGCGAACAGTTGGAGCTACATGTAAAGCAGGGAATGTGACCAACCTTTATCAACAACTCAAAATTTACAAAATATACATGTAAACAGAAGGTTGAAACCATCGACTGTTAATGAGCAGTAATTTGTATATATATCTATCTGTCATCCTGGAAAACAAAAATTAATAAAAAGGCTATATATATGTTCACAGGCCATAATTATGGTCTATATCGTAATTATTTCACAAACAACATGTTGAATATCGCCACAATATATAGTTACATGTATATCACAATATGAATACTGAAGTATCACAATGTTGGAAATAACAGATATCGCCCATCCCTTGGTCAACTTATATTGGCTTTGTGGGGCACCTTATTATATAAGTTGAGCAAGTCAGCTTTTTTCAGGTGGGGGGTGGGGTATTTGCAGAGTTATACTAGTAGATCTGATCATCTTAGAGAAGCTCTTTGAAGTTTAAAACATGGTCACGGATAACATCCCTGGCTGCACAGAAATATCAGACTTCTCTCACCAACTTTATACCCAAGGTACTGATATAATTCTTGTATTTACTTTCAGGCAACCGAAGAGCACCTGAAGAAACATTATGCCGATTTATCATCAAAACCTTTCTTTGCTGGTTTGGTTAAATTCATGTCCTCTGGACCACTGGTTGCCATGGTGAGATAAATCATTTTATGTTTTCATCAAATTCCAGTATCGATTGTACAGACATCCCCTCAACTCCCTTGTCAAAGAGCCTTTGGTTGTACACATGTCCCTCGACCCCCTTCTCGACAAAGGTTTTCAATTGTCTATTTATCCCTGAACTCCCTTGTCAATTCTATAGATGTCACACGACTCAAATCTTGACATTATTATTAAAATAATAAATTATTGGTCTTCTCCCTTCTCGGTAATAATCTTCAATTGTACAGGTGTATCCCTCGACTCTCCTCTCAATATAGGTCTTCGGTTGTACAGATTACCCACAACTCTCTTCACTATAATGGTGTTCAATTAGAATTAGAAATGCCACTGTTTGGGCAAAATTACCCACATAGCACCATATAAATGGACTTTTAAGCCATGGCAGCTTGACTGTTCTGATCAATGATTTTGCAAAGTTAAGCATTTTTAAAAATAAAGTTTAATTACCTGAAAGGGCTACAAGTGGTGATTGTATACTCATACGATGTCATCTGATATTTATATTGTTATTTTTAGGTATGGGAAGGTAAAGACGTTGTGAAACAAGGTAGAGCCATGTTGGGTGAAACAAATCCATTAACTTCTAAGCCTGGTTCAATCCGAGGTGATTACAGTATTGATATGGGAAGGTATGTATTGTCTGCATAAAAATATATTTTTAAAAAAAAAAGGGATGGAATTACCTGTATCAAATTTATTGTCTTTTTATGGTTTATACAGTAATTCTAATTGGAGTGGGGCCTTATGATTTTAGTCATTTCTTTCTATTTTATTTATTATTTATTTATTTATTTTTCCAAGAGACATCTCAAACATGACAATAGAAGTGGTAATATAAGTTACATGAAAATCAGATGAGAAAGTTTTGATGAGAGAAAAAGTAATGATGTCATGAATGACCAGCCTCTTCAGGATAACCCATAAAAACCTGCTTAAATTAAAATTAGGGTTATTTCCAATGGGGTCCTTGTACTACTAGATGTAGTACACTGTGAAAATGATTCAGTTGACTTATGAATCTTGGACTTTTACTAGCGATAATAAAGGTTCCTTGAAAGAATGGACTTAAAAAATTAAGCAGTCAAATCGGTGGGCACATTTCTTGAGTCTTTTTCCGTTTTACAATAACACTTACCAGGATGTGTATGCTTCCAGCTTAAACAAGATGTACTTATTAAATGGAGTTGCTTCCCTTTAAACCAGGAAATATTGGCATTACAGTTGATAATTGGCAGTGACATTTCCACAAAATTATTTAGCATGTTTTTTTTGTTTTTTTTTCAGAAATATATGTCACGGTAGTGATTCCGTTGATAGTGCCAACAAAGAAATTAAATTATGGTTCAAAGATGAAGAAGTTTGCAACTATAAGAGGGTCAATGATTGCTGGGTTTATGAATAAATATGACTTGTGAAGAATAGTGCTTGTTCTATATGATCTGTTTTACTCAACCCCTATTGGTTGATAATCAGCTTGTCTGATGATTATTGTAAATTATTCTGATCATAAAGGTCGTGCAAGAGATTAAAATTAATCATCCATATTACTTTGTTCTGTATTTATTTCAATAATGGTGGGGGTTGGGTTGACCAACAGGCTTATCATGTAGAAAGTCATGGGCTCATTGTCAGGCGTTTGTGACCAGGTGTAGGATCTGCTCTACCTAATTTCTCAGTGTTTTCTGCTCCTTTGCAAATATTACTGCCAGACACTCCTGCTAAACAACCTTTTTTGTGTTAAATACAGTTGAGCCCCAATTGATCTTCAACTATCTGCTGCTTGATAGATTTTGTTAGCTCATGGGAAATATTAGTTCCATGACCTAGCTTCGATCCCACCCTTTTACCTGGTGGGTTTTCTCTGGGTCCACCAGTATCCTCCTCCTGCTAAGGCCTCCCTACACACCAGCAAAGTATTAAAAAATAAATTGAGCTTACGTTAGTCTGGAAATGACCGAGCGGACGTTAAACCCCATTTATCTCTTCCACTCCCCCGCCCCCCAAAAAAGAGTCCATAGGAACTGATTAATGAACTTTTCCAAACAGGCTTGTTGTGTGCAGTATCGGACCTCGGTATGAAGGTGATTCCTATCGGAATTTGACCCGCTGAATCCAATGAACTTGGGTATTCTTCCTTAAAAAGCTGTCTAATTCCACTACGGGGGCCAAATTCAAAATGGTGGCTTATTTTGGCAGGAAACTTATAAAGTTCCCCCAAAAGGTGTAATATACTATTCAAAAAAAGTAGGGGATATTTGATTTTTAAGTGTTATTAAAGTCACCTAATGAAACTGACGAAGAAACAAATGATGAAATGAAGTTCACATTCATCGATTTATTCCAAATGATCGTTAGACTAAGTAAGGCACAGACTAACCATTATAAGGGTAAAATGATACCCGGGGTCAAACAGCAAAGTTACCACAGCATCACAACCAAGTCAGTAACGGGTAAATCCTCCTCTGTTTGCCAAACAAGCATTGATCCGACGTGGCATACTCCTAATGAGACGTCTAAGGTCATTTTGGTCCAGATTGTCCCATTCCTGTTGCAACGCAGCAGCAAGTTCTTGGACATTGGCAGGACGTTGTTGACGTTGACGTAACCTCTGTCCAAGCATGTCCCAGACATGCTCGATGGGGGAGAGGTCGGGACTCAGTGCTGGCCAAGGTAATGTGGTGATGTTCTGTTGTTGGAGGTAACCTGTAACGATCCTGGCCTTGTAACATCTTGCGTTGTCATCCCGGAAGATGAAACGGCGGCCATGACGTCGTGCGAACGGCACAACATGGACTGCAAAGATGTTGTCCCGGTAGTACTGGCCTGTAACACGCCCTGCAACAACATGTAAAGCCGTTCTTCCAGCAACAGTGATGCCTCCCCACACCATAACAGAACCACCCCCAAATCGATCATGTCTGATGACGTTAACGTCTTGGAAGCGCTCGTTTCGACGACGCCACACCCTCCTACGTCTGTCCAAAAAATCAACAGTGAACCTTGACTCATCTGAAAACATCACATTGCTCCAGCGTCGATTATCCCAGTGTTGACGATCCCTACACCAACGACGTCTTGCCTGAATGTGATGATCTCTCAAACAAGGGATCACGCGAGGACGTCGGGCGCGAAGGTGACCCCTATGCAGTCGATTCCGAATCGTCTGGCCACTCACTCTCACACCAGTGTCTGTTTGAAGACGAGCGCTGATCTGAATTGCTGTGATGACACGATTTATCAAGGCCAAGGTACGGATAAATCGATCCTGGGCTTGAGTTGTCGACCTGAGCGTGGTCTGTCCTGTACAGATTGTGTATCACGGTATCTGGACCATAGCCTGCTTATGACAGACTGAGAAACATTCATCGTCCGCGCCACAACCGCCTGTGTTGTGCCGATCTGTAGCATGCCAGGGGCACGTAACCTTTCATTTTGGGTAAGCCGACGCATATCAAAATTTGTTTTCTGGTCACTAAAACAATTAAACTGATGTTTCCACCCTGGAATTCAATGCCACAATGACTGTAACATTCAAAGTCAGAGTCGTGCAAATCTTGGGTTGGACCCCCATGATGATCCCAAGCATCACCTGCATTCCATGCGGTAGCTATTGGTGCGTTTGGCGTCACATGTAACTGGAAATGTTTCTTCTGTTAGGTTCTATAGTGACTTTTTTCGTAGTCATTTGCATATTTTAGTATTATGCCCCCAAAATCAAATATCCCCTACTTTTTTTGAATAGTATATATTGAAAGCAAATGTTTCTAATACCGTAGCTAACTGGGGCTCACATATTTGTCTTGTGCAACCTCGAGTATTTGTCTTACCCTCTCTTGAATGACTGGAATACTCGCAATCGTTAGAACAATCCGATTCTTCCCATTCCATTGTGTCACGCAACGGGGATGACATAATTTTGTCTTGCAAGTTATTTGGTCCTTTATACGCGCCGGTAAAGCTGGGGTTTGTATCATGCTGACATACATTTTCCATCCCTTATTCCACTCTTTTTTCTAGTAGAGAAGGTGACACGGACGGGTGCCATAGTGGATCATAATTTATGCTTGACAATTCGCTCTCCGTAGCTTCTGTTCGTATGGCTCTGTAATTTGTGCTCTTAAACCTGTGATACATAAGTTTTTACATTAACGGTTCTATTATCTTCCATGGCCTACTAAATTTAGTTATTTTGTTCAATTTGGGAACCATATTGGCATTTCGTTCGGTCATGGCACATTTCGCCATTCAGGCATGAAGTCGGCGAACACGAAAACCTATAGTTTAATACATTACTAATATCGTTAGGTCTTGCCAAATATGGCCACCATTTTATGTTTATATCTAAAGTAAGTGACACCGAAAACCTATAGTTTAATATATTGCACAGCTTTTTGGGGGGACTTTATGAGTTTCCCCAAAAATAAGCCTCCATTTTGAATTTGGCCCCCTATTGGAATTAGACAGCTTTTTTAGGAAGAATACCCAAGTTCATTAGTTTCTGCGGGTCAAATTCCGATAGGAATCACCTTCATACCTAGGTCCGAGAGAATCTGTCCCGAATTCTACCCCACGAAATTAAAGTAAATAACCAGAAAATGCCTCATGACGGCCATCTTGAATTTTTTAATTTCCTCAAGGATGCCAGGCTGGCATCATCCGGATTCTGAAACTACACATATTAAAGATATATAATACACCAAAAACCTATATTTCAATATATTACACACTTATTTTCGGAACTTTATAAGTTTCCTGCCAAAGTAAGTCACCATTTTGAATTTGGCCCGATAGCGGAATTAGCCGTCATTTTTTAGGAGGAATACCCATGCTCATTGGATTCAGTTGGTCGAATTCTTACAAAACCCATCTTCAAACCGAGGTCCGAGAGAATCTGTCATATATTTTACCCCACTAAATAACCAGAAAATGCCCCATGGCGGCCATCTTGAATATTTAAATTTTCCCAAGGGTGCCAGGGTGGCATCATCCGGATTCTTAATCTACACCTATTGAAGATATATAATCCACCAAAACAAAAAGGGTGGACTGTATTTCTGCGTTAAGGCTTAAAATGGGGTTTAGCAACTGGACTATATTTGCAGATAAACGAAAGTTGTATTACCACATTGACCCCCGGTATGTTTAATTAGTTCCAATAATATTAAATTAACTTATTTTTAAAATGTTATATGTATTAATATAGAAATTGTTTGCCAGGTGAACCTAAATGCATTCAATGGTAGCTAAAAACAAACTGCTTTGACGAATTCAAAATATTTAATTAAAATTAAGAACTTTCAATTAGTTTTTATACGCCCACATTGCAATGTGGTCGTATATTGTCGTCGGTCCGGCGCCCACAATTGCTTGTGGACGCTCTAGACGCTAAAGTCAATATCCGATTGACTTTTAAATTTATACACAATGTTTATGGTTATGAGACGAAGAAGCCTATTGATTTACAACGGTATTCGATAATTACCGTCAGAGTTATGGCCCTTGATCACTTTGAAAAATCTTTTGGACGCTCTAGAGGCTACAGTTAATATCCGATTGACTTTAAATTTAAAGACAGTGAGACGAAGAAGCCCAGTGATTTTCAATGATTACCGATAATTACCACCAGAGTTATGGCCCATGATCACTTTGAAAAATCTTGTGGATGCTTCAGAGACCAAAGTTATCATCTGATTGACTTTAGATTGATACACAGATAAGGTCTTGAGATGAACAAGTATATTGATTTTCAATGAATTTTGATAACTTGAACAGCTAAATCCATATTACTGTTTCGTATACTAAACGTTAGCATGGGGCAGAACTAAAAGTCAAACAAATTCTAATGATTCTCTGATAATTACTTAAAGATACATTATGGGAGATAACGAGTTGGCAGTACTCAATATAATAGTTAACCAGCGGCTGCCAGGCATGATACGCCCACATTTTCGAGAGATGGATAGAGAACAGGCTAAACAGAAAGTGATTTTTCCTACAATCAAGGGCCATAATTCAGAAAATTACAATTCGATATGCGCAAATATCGAAAGGAACCGAGATCTTTGGGTTATAAACTTACATTTCAAGTTTCAACAAAATCGGATAAAAATTGTGACCTCTATAGGGTCCACAACCTTGACATACCATATTTTTACGCTATTTGAGAACGAAGGGCGGCCATTTTGTCTGTCAGTTTTGGGCCGATTTTCACGAAATTCGAACTCAGTCGTCCTTAGGGTGTAACGGTGATATAATAATAGTTTTTTTTTAAATCGGATAAAATTGACCTCTATAGGGCCCACAAGCTAAGAACGACATTTTTCGTACAACCAGGGGCCATAATTCAGGAAGTTATGGTCCGATATGCGCGAATATCGAAAGGAACCGAGATCTTTGGGTTATAAACTTACATTTCGGGTTTCAACAAAATCGGATAAAAATTATGACCTCTATAGGGTCCACAACCTTGATATATTTTTACGCTATTTGAGAACGAAGGGCGGCCATTTTGTCTGTCAGTTTGGGGTCGATTTTCACGAAATTC